ATCTTATAAGTAATATATCTATACAGTACTTCCTTATTTTAGCTCTCTTTCATAATTACAAGGTTGCTCATACTTAAAAATGAACGTTCGGGAGAAGGTTAACGAAAGTAAGTTACGTGCTTAAATTTTTAAAGCATTCTTGTATTATATTTGCTATTACCAACATTTCTTCATCGCGCAATAATTTTATTTACGATTTAGGCTTCCTTCTGATCAGTGAAAGTTACATGAATTCAAATAAGTATATTTCTTGAAAATCTTTCTAATATTATCTTAGCATTCCTCTTTAATAAAAAGCGAGTATTAATAACCTTTTCATATATACAAATTCTGACAAGACAATGTACTTTTGGATAATGTTTTATTATATCGAACTAGAACACTACTATCAGATTTATAATTTGAAAAAAAAAAAAAAAAAAATTGCATTAATTTATATACATATAAATAACATCTAAGAATAATTTCTTTTATGAACAATGGTAAAGTAAGCTATTGATATTACAAGTTTATTTCAGCATTATAAAATTTAATATAATCATGATGTCTAATATCTCTGAAAGCATTTTTGCAAATATAATAATTACAAGAGTAAATAATTGACAAAATTTAGCATTAATTATACAAAGTTATAATAAATTTATGAAAGGAATTAATATCGATAAATTTGTGGAAAATTGAAATGCCTATGCTTAAATTTACAAATATGTAAATCTTACAACTTTGTATTTATTGCCTATAATTATTCACCGTGTTATAATGGAGATATTTAGAACTGCCTAAATTATAGTTTTAAATGTTTTGTTCCTAATATTTTTATTAATATAAAACTCGAATAATATTATTTCACAAGCTGTTATATAATTTCATAAAATAAATCAATAGTATAAAGCCTAAATGGAATCTTTGTAACAAAAAAAAAAAAAAAAAAAAAAAAAAAAAAACGAGAAAAGAGAAAAAAAACTAGATGCATGTGTTTGTGAAATGTTATATTCCGATTAGTAATTTAGTTTTTATAAATCCGGAATATTTACTTCATTAAAGTAGTATCTTATTCATTCTCATTTCACATAAACATGCATGCTTTTCTTCCTTCTTTTTCGTGATCTACGTAATACCCTGTCAAACTATTATTTTTTTTCGTTTCCTCCTTTATTTTTTTGTTTTTACATATCTCCTATGACATGTCTTATATAACAAACAATAATATTTTAAGTAATATTTTAAACAATAATTATTAATATTGTTAGTTATTTGAATTATCTAAATATCCGTTAAAAAGTTATTATTAAAAATGAATAGTAAAAGTTATATGTGCTAAATAAAAGTAGTGAAATACTGATAGGATCAAGTTGATTTTTGTATAAAGTTTGAATTGCTTTGTATTGACAAAATGAATAGAAATTTATTGTAATAAGATGTCTAAGAATAAAAAAGTAAATAAATTAACTTCAGTTATAATATATAGATCTTTATAAATTTAATCTTTCAAAAGCGTTGCTTATTGAATAAATAAATACATTATTGATGATATAAAGCTACAATATAAATAATAATTATTTTCAGCATTTAAATAATATTTTCTATACATCATTTTCATTGATTTTATAAGACAAAAAAAAAAATTAATGAAACTATGAAAATGCTGTAATATATGATGCAAATATAAAAAATAATAAATAGCAAACATTACGAGGCATTAACATTAATAATATAAGTAAGTTGATGTGAAAAGGTACGTGTGATAGGAATGTTGAGAAGAAATGATGATTCATAATAGTATTTTTATATTTTTCCTGAAGATCTGTTAGTAATTAAAGAAATGTAAAAGAATGTGCATATATATATATATATATAGCGAGCGGGAGAGGAGTGAGAGGGGGGGGGGGGGAGAGAATGAGAGAGCATTTTGTGCATGTAGCAGTAGAGGAAAGTTATATGAAGCGGCTTTGAAAGTGCAGAACCTTCGTTGTTGACCGACACAGCTAGAATCTGATACACAGGTAGACATGGGGGCATGTCTAGCAACATTGAGCAATGACCGCATTCGATGTGTGTCCATGCGTGTCATGTAATTTTCAACTTACCTTCTTCTCGGATAGGAGAGCCGACGAGTGAAGCCTGACTCTCTCGCGTGAACGCATGTTCATTATCATTATACGTCACATCTCCACCACTAATTTAAAAGCGCAATATTTCCTTTATTCACGCGATCTTTGCGCGCTCAATTTGTTCCTTAATTTTCAGCATAATATTTTAAATGTCCGATATTTAAAGCATGTCTCAACCCTCTTCCGAATAATAGTTCAATTAACAACAATCTACGTGTATATCTATTTAGATCTATCTATATCTAATGTATAATTCAGTTTTGTTCAACATTTGTATTAATGGATTATACGTAAGTTCACTTTTTACAGACAATATAATCATTAACCGGTAATAATGTCAATCAAATTATAACTTTTGTTTACCACTGCTTAACTCTGCGAAGATTAATTGATTTATTAATCATGTGATTACAGTTAATTATAAGGATACTTAATCAGCGGCTTTTATTCAAGTTTTAAAACAGACCTTTTAACAGAATAAAACATCAATATATGACGCGTGCAAAATTGTGATTGAAAAGCGAAAGGGAGGGAGAGAGAGAGAGAGAGAGAGAGAGAGAGAGAGAGAGAGAAATTGAGGGAAAAAGAGATGAGGCATGATATGTGATTTTTATTTCGCTCTCTGCCGAGAACGACTTTTACTTTTTCGCTCCAAGTTCTTCGCGCAATTTATTTTATAACTTTAAGACACGACTAACGATTGTTTTCTCATCAATTAATATTTATTTCTTATTCTTATTCTTTTTAGTTTTAATACGTCGCCCATTATTCTATCATCTCTATTCAACAATATATTTAATTCATTTATTTTCGAATTTACAAATTTTAGTAATTATTGCGTCGATCTGTTTATTAAGCGAATCAATAAACGGAGAATAATTTTATACGCAATTACGTATTGAAATATCATATATAAGATTTTAATTATAGTTATACAATATAAATAACCAAATCAACAATAATTATGTTACTTAACACTCAAAGTAGCATCTGATTTTTTCAATATAGTTTGCATGAGCTATGCCCAAAAAAATTATTTCTCAAATATTGATATTTTTATTCGTGGGAATAATATTTATTTCTCACCTCTGTATAACTCCGCACTTTTTCCTAATTAAGAATATACAAAATTTGAATATTAAAAAGTAAATATTTATTGTGCACAATTTACGATGCGCATCGAAACTTCAATGGAAAGGATTAATGATAGGCACTTGCTACCAATGGATAATATTGCATTGTTAGTCAATTTATATAAGCGAAACGAGTAAATAAATATCAAATAGCCGGATAACTTTTATCGATAAGATACATTGTTCGAAAAGGGATCGATTATTAAAAATTTTAAATAATCCCGTCATAAATTTGTACACGTGCTTACTTTCACTGAATTATTCACAAGGATAATCAATTAGATAAGACGAATAAAACATTGAATAATTATATTTTGAATTTAACAAATTATTCTCAAGTTTCAAATTGTAGTAGTAATTTTGTTATTAATTTTCATGAATAAGTATAGAACTGTTTTATATTATAAACTAATCCACATGTGTGTATGTATACACGCATAAAGAACTATAATAGCAAATATTTTTTGTTTTTTTTTTCTAATTATTAATATTGTAAAATATCATGAAATAAATTTACATATTTAATATAAACTAGATATTTTTCATTGTATATTTTATTCTTTTTAAAATAATTATTCCTAGAATCAAATTCGTTATTCAACTCCAAAATTCATTTTACAATTTAATGCAATTTTACCTTCCGACTGTTCATGTATTAATTAGAAAAACAGTACAGTAATTAATATTATTTTTACGATGATACTGATTGAAAATTACAGATAAATATTTACAAAATAATTTATTCCTGGGTACAAAAAAAAAAAAAAAAAAAAAAATTAACAAATCGACTGTCATGATTCGAAACTTAAATCAAATAACTCAAGTATTAGAATAAATTTTATTTTTCGCTCTAAATGCTGGAATTCTCTATCCATAAAGATTTATAAAATAAAAATGAATAAAGAAGAATATGAACAATGAATAAAATTGCAATAAAAAAAAATTACCTAATCTCCAAAATCAACTCACTCAAAAAAAGAATGAAAGTTTATTTTTCACATGCATTTCCATTTGGTGTTTTTACTTTTTTCCCTCTATTTTTATAATACAAATCTGTGCATTCGTTTTCTTTTTTTTTTTTTTTTTTTTTTTTTTTTTTTTTTTTTGTTTTTGTTTTTTGTTTTTTTGACAGTCGTTTCGATAATTAAATAAAATTCAATATTCACAGTACTAATATTGTATTTTATTTACCACGTAATCTTGCATACGTGATTTTTCCATTTAATCGTAACAAAAATTCGTCTTTATTGTTTTATATTTTGTTTAATAAAGATATTGTATTTGAATAATAATTAGTATTTTCAATATTATTAATTAAATATTATAAACTTAAAAATTATTAATGATTGTTATTATATTAATAAGAATGTTATTCATAAACATTGGCATTAAGTAATTCAAGTGTTTTAATTTATGTTTAACTAAATTAGAAAAATATCTTTGATTATTCCCGATAATGTTGAAATGAAAAATTTTCTAATTAAATTTAAATGAACCATAACTTATATAACAAAATCTTATTTGTTTAATATTCATTTACTATCAAAAGGTATTTAAACAAATTCTTTTATTAATACAGTAATCGAAAATCCCAACCACTCTCTAATAAAAAATGAATTAATGCTTCTATCAAACTTGAGAATAATTTATCATTAACAAATATTATACTTTAATGTTATTGACAAAAATCAAAGTTATAATAAATCAAATTAGAAGCATTTAGTGTACTAATGCCTTTTTTCCCCCTCTATTTCAGAATTTTCAAAATGAGCATAACTGTCGTCTGAATGTTGCACGAGTAATGAGTTCAATGCAGACGCAACAGCCAGGATCTCTTCCAGACTATCGAATTGATCCTTATCAACTACTCGAGGATGATCTAAAAGATGTATATGAAGATATAAAAAGAGTGAGTCTAATTTTTTTCTCAAATGATATCCACTTTATATATTTCCTAATGAATAATGAAAATCCGCAATTCGAATAATATTCCACCAATTAGTGTAAATTAGCTATTATTTTTGCTCGTCCATTTGTTTTCTTGAATCGTAAAAATGCGAGGCGAATGCTTGAAAATATTGTAAAATTATATAGATTTTCACAACAATTTTCAATTTCGATAAAATTATTATTTGTCATTGATTGAGAACGCGCTGCGTATGAAGGAAAAGTAAATAAAGTCATTAATAATGCATTAAGAAAAGTTTCACAAATGCTTTTATATACATAATCTGTGAAATTGTGATATTAATAGTATTGTTGTTGTTGTTGTTGTTGTTGTTGTTGTCGTCGTCGTTGTTGTTGTTATAATAGTAAAGCGGAGCTTCTGTGAAGAGAATATGAAAAAAATTAACGATAAAAAGGAAGCTCTCCTCGCGTCACGAACGATGTTGGTCTCCGCTCGGGTTCTGGCCGAATTCCAATGCGTGGTGTCGTCGTGCTCTCTTTCTTTCTTCCTCTCTGTCTTACGCGCGCGGGCTTTGTATGGAATTCAAAGAATGAAAAGTGAACGCGAGCATCGCAACTCTTGCAACTTAACGGGTAAACGCATGCGCATAGAGAGAGAGAGAGTTAATAGATGCCACTCTATTATTCAGTGACGCTCAATCGGCGAAAAAAAATTAGACATTTGCTTACGCAATGTCACACATTTATTAATTTGCTGGGCGTAGCTAATCCACTTTAATAATAATATTAGCCGACTCCCGGCGCTCTACTTAACACCTTAAGACACTTTTCTCACTTTATCTCAATTGATGACTCGCCCTTACTCACTCTGTTGTAGGAACTGATTGGCAATACGACAAACGAAGAGCTGAGAACGATAGCGACATATTATTTTGGCGGACAAGGCAAGGCACTTCGGCCCATGGTCGCGATACTCATTGCCCGAGCCATCAACTATCACAAAGATAGAAAGTATGCCATCACTATTTACACTTGCTTTTTATAATTTCTGTAATGCCAGGTCGATTATTCTATCGAGCACTAAATGTAATATTTCTTCTATATATATATATATATATATATAGAATTTAGTGCTCAATATATATATATATATATATATATATATATATTTTTTTTTTTTTTTCTGATAGATACTTTCTTTATATTACATTATCGATTTCAATTTCAACATCATTATTCGTAAAATTTACTTGCTCTTCCAATAATAGCATATTATTTTACATTATTGGATGTTTGTTGCCTCGATAATTATTCCCATCTAATTAATATGTCTATAATGACATACGGTATCTTATCGTCGGAACTACAAGATTTTCCAAACTCTTTCATACAAAGTACTCTTTGTAAAAAAAAAAAAAAAAAAAAAAAAAAAAAAAAAAATATTTTTAATTTCACGATACATTTTTGTACATGTCCATTTGGGCTCGTATTCATTTATTCAAATTATTAATTTTTACTATTCAAACTTTTTATTTTTAGTTTCTTAAGCCAATAAATAAAGCTGCATTAGGCTGAATGAAATGACCCCTTTTTTTTTTTTGTGAACAAAATTACGAAGAAAAAATATATTTAAAACGACTATGTAGAATTAACAGTTGTTGAATAATTTTCTACATTGATCTAACTAGTAAAGCGTGTAACAAGAACGTAAATTATTGGTGCTTTAGATAAACAAATCGGTTGAACGAACTAAATCTATTAAATCGATTGATTTCTGTTTTTATTAGCGGTCTCTTAGCATCGCAACGGCAAGTTGCAATGATTTCCGAGATGATCCATAATGCCTCCTTGATACATGACGACGTGATCGACCAATCCGATTTTCGCCGGGGAAAACCTTCTGTTAATGCACTTTGGAGTCAGAAGAAGGTGAAAAATATATTCTCTTAACCATATAAATTACGGCCTATGCATAAAATAAAAAGTATTACATCATGTTTACTTTAGATATTTATCATGTTTATGTTATTGAGAATTATTGAAAATTGAAAAATATTTAATAGATATCTTTAGAAATGATTCGGTGGAAAGATGAAAATTTAACAAATAATAATCAGTCCTATAATCAATTATTGATTGAATTCATATTAAAAATTATGAATAAGAAGTAAAATGTTCTTAAGTTTTTTTGAGATCTTAAATCTTTGCTATATACTTTATTAACCTGATTTCTAAATTCTTATCAATCCCTCAAGTTCTTGATATAATTAAATATATTATTATTACTAATTATTGATTTATTTATTTATTAAAGTCATATTACATATAATTTTACAAATTTGTTTTAAAACGAGAAGTAAATATACAATTGTACCTTTAACTATTATGCTAGTTTATGTAAAATGTATAAAAACTCATATGAACTTCTCTGTTACGTCACAAGTTTTCATGATAGTTTTTTTTTTTTTTTTTTTTTTAAACAAACAGAATAATATAACATAATATTGATAAAGTTTGTTGAAAAATTTAGTCACTTATTTCAAACCTACGCTATTCTTCTTTGTGTATGGACGTATATATTTTGTATGCATCTCCAAATTGCATATGCTTATTGCACTTAATATGTAACGGAAAGAAATTCTTTGCGCAAATTGTTGTCGTTCGAAGTTCTATATTGCAAATCAATAAACTCAAAGTTAGTTTAAGCACCAATGAATGAAAGAAAAGAAGGAAGGAGGTTAATTCAATTCGGGTTAGGTATACGCACTTGTGCGCCAACTTTTTTACAAAACGCTTTCTTCCGGAAATGACGTTTCCAATATACATGAATTTTGTCTCGGTCAATTTTTTTTCAACAATCGCAATATATATTAAATTTGAATGTCTAGTAAGGTAAGTCTGTTGATAAGGTTAGACTATTGTGATGAAAAATGAGCTAGTCCTAATGAATAAACGATATCAAGTATACAATAGACAATAATAAAATCATGTTTTGCATTTAAACATTGAACTTTCTCCTCTCATTTTTTTTTATACAACATTATGACTTTCTCAAATTTACGTCTCATTTTCGTTAATATAAATAGTGAATAAAATATTCAACTATTTATTCCTATTAATATTAAAATTATATAAATAAAACTATTTTTTTTTTTATATAATAATATTTTTATGTGTGCATTTAATAAATAGATAAATGTATAACTATTATATTTCTAAGCGAATATAATACGATAAATCACTATATTTATATTATAAGTAATAAGATATGTAAATAGTGATAAGTCAGTATGGAGTGAAAATATTTTATATTCGATCAAATTAATTTGATAGTAATGTTGCTGGATAGAAAGTATACGAATAATTATTACTCTAGCTTTATACATCATAGTTCAGAAAGCAGAAATTAAAGATTATATTGATCAATTAATAAAATGTCCTGTGATTGAAATTTCAATATTCGATTCATCAAGAATTTTAACACAATACGAATGAAATATTAAAAATATTGTCACTATCAATTATCTGATTCAGTTAAGATTAATGTATACTATTTTTAACTCAATCGAAATAAATTGCAACGTTCATGCATATATATATACACGAATGTTAATAATATTATAGGCCAAAAATAATAATAAACGAATGTTAAAACAAATAAATATCGATATAAGATTTTAATTAAGAACAGCTTCATTATTCCAGACTTAATAAAATACAAGAAAATTTTTTAAAATAAATAATGTTCGTGTAAAAGTTTTAGTTGTAATAATACTATTAACTATAACAGTAAATTATAGTAGACTTAGAAAATTAAAATATAACATATGCGTATATATGTTTTCGATAAAACAACTAATATAGTTTTACTTAATCGCAATAGACATTTCTTTGATTTTATTCATTTTTAAAATTTTTAAATTTTAAATTTTAAATAATTTAAAGGCTTTGTAATAACATTTTATTTTAATATTCATAATTAATTAGAAACGATAAAAGTAATTATATAAAACAATTAACTTAATTGATTTACAAATAATATTTGAATTTATTGTAGAAAGTGGTGAATACTCTCTTTCAATAAAAAATATCAAAATGATGTAAATATATCATAGCTTCCTAATCAGTTGTGCAAATTCAAAAAAAAAATCATAATCAACATACCAATAATGTTATTACTGTACTAATAATAAAAATCTACAATGAAAATAAATTTTGTTTGCTCGTTTATATTTCTTTGTTATGCTTCCTTTTCATTATTTTACATTAATATCTCAAATATAGACATGTCATATATAGATTTTAAACGATAAAAAAAAATCATTGATTAATGAAATTATGCAATACTGATATTGATTGAACAATATTGATACTTATAGATGGTTTTCAAATTTTTGAAAATATTCATCCATAAAAATTAGTTGCTTATTTCACATAACATAATTTACACCCATAAATTTTTACTATTTTACATTAAAAATATCAAAGTGGTTTAAAAATAAATTCAATTTAATTTTTTCTATTTGAGAGTATGATAACTTAATAAACCAAGTATTTAATGTTCAATTATTTTAAAACAGAATTAGATTTCCTTTTTAAACAATTTATCCCTAATATATATTTCAATAAAAAGAAATGGTTGAATAATGAGAACATACTTGCGTTTCATCATCATTATATAAATTATGTACATAATTTATTGATAAAAAAAAAAAAAAAATACGTAAAGATAAGCTATCTTCGTATAAAAAATATCGTATATCAATGGTATTTTACAACCATAGTAAAATTAATAAGATTTGTAATAAATTTATATTTGTAGTAATAACATTTATAGAATTAGAAAATTGTAATTAGAATAAATTATAATTAAATTTTGATGTATGTCAGAATATTTTCTGAAATTTAAATTTTACATATATATTAAAGGGAAAAAAAAAGTCTTCAAATGCAACTTAAAAGTACAGCATGCGATGCCGTATTTATTACACAATAATCAATTCAATAATAATAAATTATTTTCCAAAAGTGCTATCCAATAATGTTTTTTACAAATATGTATTAATATATTTCAGAATTTGATAATTTTAATGAAACAAGTCGCTTACCTTGTAGATTTTATTAACAATTTGCTCATTTGCTAATAATTCTAAAAATTGAGTAGATTAATTGAATTAAGATATACCAACTTTCATATTTTATTATGTTAATTTGAATATAAAAATAACACTGTTTAATAATATTTAAAAGTATAAAAACACATAAAAACTCAATTTTATTAAGCAAATGTGAGAAATTATTTTTATTTGCTAATTTAAAATTTAAGATAAAAACAGTTGTTATTTTATTTATTTATTTATTTATTTATTTATTTATTTATTTATTATTATTATTTTTTGTTAATTAATAAAGAGTAGATAAAAATGGTTATTAATTTAAAATTTTTATTCTTAGGTAACAATGGCCGGCGATTTTATTCTTGCTGTAGCTACGATGATGATTGCGCGCCTTCAGAGCGATGATGTTACTTTAACTCTCAGTCAGGTTTGTCAAAATATTTTATAAAATTGTTGTAAAACTTTTACATATATGGCATTTAATGATTAGTAATTAGGTATAGTTTAACTAATTGATAGGTAATTTATGTTTTTTTAAGAATCAAAAGAACACATTTATTTAAATTGCTATAATTCAAAGTCAACGGACAAAGAAATTATGATGCGTATAAGTTAAAAGTTGTAAAATATGTATAAAATATAAAAAAAAAATTTTATATTATTTCTTCAACAAAAGTAAATAAAATTATAATATATTTCTTATTCACGCTACATATTCTTTATATGAATTGTATAATCTAATTTTAAATCTTTAGTAAGCGAACAGAAAATTAAAATTATTATGTTTAATTTAATAAATTAATATTACTATTACTGTATAAATAAAACGTATTACTGTAATCGTGATAAGACTAATATATTTATCAAATTGAAAAAAATATTTTAATAAACGTATACAATTGATAATAAATAGTTAATATTTTTCATAATATTTGTAATATATATATATATGTGTGTGTGTGTGTGTGTGTGTGTGTGTGTGTGTGTGTGTGTGTGTGTGTTTTTAATTATAAACATTTTAAAAATTTAATAATACAAAGTGAAAAGAAATGTCTAAAAAACATGTCATTTCATATTATTTTTAAACTTCTTACCATCTGTTGTATATAGAATATTTTCGAAAAAGAAATTGTCATAAGATGGCGCTATATGCTAATGATGCACCAAAAGTGTTGAAATATAACTTTTATTATTTGCATAAAAATCAAAGCTCTTCATTTCCTATTGATTTATTCATTACGATCATAAAAGACAATGTTGAATCATTGATGGATCTATGCAAAATGAAAAAATACAGCTACATATATTACGTAGAAATTGTGTTGAACAAATTTATACTTATGGAATCACTAAATTTCTACATAAATATACATGTAACAACACAATGTAACAATAGGCGCACTCTTCTTAATGAACTAATAATTTTTTTACTAATTTGATGAAAAGCGTATTTAAAATCAAGTATTATATTCAAAATAAAAACAAAATAATAACTTTCTCGTTTTGTATTTGAACCCGAATATACTTTTCACTTTGCTGCTGCTGATGTACAATAATTCAACCTCGAAAATCTCTATGTATTTTGCGACTCATCCATTCCATTAATCATTATTCTGATAATTATTGTGAATTTAAATAAAATGTAATTTATAATGGAGATGGAAAGAGGATGGAAATTAATCTAGAAAAGATAATTGTAATAAATAATATAACAAACATGAAAATAACATATTTTAATAAATTTCTATAAGATGGATAAAAAACCAAAGCTTGTTAATATAATTATCAATCTATTTAACTTTTTAATGGTCTGAACAGGTTATCACTGATTTGGTCCAAGGGGAGTTTATGCAGCTGGGCTCCAAGGAGACAGAAAATGAGCGGTTTACCCATTATTTGACAAAAACTTATAGGAAAACAGCTAGTCTACTAGCGAATTCGGCAAAAGCGGTATGACGTTTTTAAATTAAAATATAATTAATCTAATCTACATGTTGTCTTATTTTTGGGCTTTAGGATGCCAATCGGTTTCAATTATATGAATAATGAAAGTTGAATTAATGTGATTTTCAATGATTTCGCTGATATTTCGTTTCATATAAGCTTCGTTATAATCTATTATATTATTCAAAAGAGGTATTTTTTTATTTATTTAAGAAAAAATTAGATGTATGTAAATTTTTTAATTTTTTGTATTATTTTTGAGAACTGCGAAAAACTAAAATAATGAAGTATCAGACGGTTGCAATATTTATGTGAATAAATGATTATTCACCAAATTAACCTTTATCAAATCATTCGATATACCTTGAAATATTCAGATATTCAAACTATGAAAGAAGATTCGCTGAAGAAAAAAAAATGAACAAGTAAAAGATATTCTTACTTTTATTATTTATTAAAAATCATTGTAGTAATTTAAAAATCGAATAAATCATACATTATGAAGTAATATTTCGATTTAATCGATTGAAATTGAATAGTACTAATACTGAATAATTTTCAATGACCATGACAATAATAGTAAAAATAATTGTGATAAGTTTTGTAAGTAATCTAAATTTTTGCAGAATCATTTTCTGGTTAATGCATTTCCCCCACACTATTATTATATAATTTATGTTGAAATAAGTGTAAATAATATCAATATATGAATATAAATAATTCGATAAATATCGTGTAATGCATTAAAATAAATTTATATACGGAAGCATTAAAATACATGAATTATTTCTTTCCTCTAAAATTAGCAATTACTATTTCATTTCATAAAAATATTATTACGCAAAAATATTAGCCATTTAAAGTACGCAATTTTAAAAATATGATAATTTTAAATGATTAATCGGTTGTTGTAATATAGATTAAATTATATATGTAATTAAAATTAATACAAAATATGGTAAATTAAGGAGTAACTTAAATAGATTTTATCTATCTTATAGGTTGCGATGCTATCAGGAGCTGACGAGTGTTTATCGGAAGTTGCTTTTCAATATGGAAGAAATATTGGATTAGCTTTCCAACTTGTCGATGACTTATTAGATTTTGTATCATCGTCAGATGCAATGGGAAAGCCTACAGCAGCAGATTTAAAATTGGGACTCGCTACTGCACCCGTTCTATTTGCTTGCGAACGGGTAAATTTTATAATAATTATATTTAAATTATTTCTTCTTTTTTTTTTGAAATACGGACATAGAAAAACTTTATATATATATATATATATATATATATATATATATATATGTATATGTATATTTGTATTTGATACTCAATAGAATTTATGACGTTCAGTAAAAAGTTTGAAATAGTTTATATATATTTTACTCTTTTTATCAAATATGAATAGACACAGACAAATAGCATCTACCGATTTCTGTTAGTAGAATAATAAATGATCATAAGATTACAATGAAATGAAATGAAACGATTGTAAATCATACAACTTTCAGGAAGACAATAAATCCTCAATATAGAATAAAAGGATTTATATATATATATATTTCATGCTATTACTATTTTTCAGTTGTGTATTATAAAAATGCTTTATATATCGTCTTTTTTATTAATGTTTTAGTATCCAGAACTGAATCCAATGATAATGCGTCGATTCCAAGAGCCCGGTGACGTCGAAAAAGCCTTTGAGCTAGTGCATAAATCGCAAGGATTAGAGCAAACGAGATTTTTAGCCAAAAAGCATTGTGTGGAAGCCGTGAGGCTTGCACAAACTTTGGCCGAAAGTCCCTATCAAAAAAGTTTATTCGTCGTCAGCGATTTAGTTATTAATCGTATAAAGTAATGAATTGTCTTTAAACGTTTCATTACAGTAGTATAAATCATATGCATCGGTAACAAATTGATTTTGAAAAGCTTAAAAAGGAGAAGAGAAGAAAAGACATGGAGTATAAATTAGCTATTGATTAAAAAGGTAAAGAAAAATTTTTAAAATAAAAGCATGTTAAGCATTTTATCTTAAAAGATATTAAAAAAAAAAAAAAAAAAAAAAAAAAAAAATAAATAAAATAAAATAAAATAAAATAAAAAAAAAAAATAGAAATTGACTTTATAAATAGCAGTAAGTGGGAAAGCGAATTGTAGACAAGTATTTTTCGTAAAAATAAAATTACGTAGACATAAGAAAAAAAATTCATAAATAATGATTAAAAGCTGAAGTAATATGAAAATAGTGAATATAAAAATTAAAGTATAAAAAAGGAGGAAAAATTGAAGAAAGTGCCTAGATTTAATACATTATTGTAAATACAAAGTAATACGTAAAGATAGTACAATATGCTAACAGTACACGTGTTAATACACAAGCACAGCTTTTATTTTAAATCTTTTAAGTTTGTGTATGCTCTCTCCAAATAAATTTGTTTTATAATATTATGCAAATATTATTACGATACCCTTCAAAGATAATAGAGCAAAAAAAAAATTCATTTGAAGGGTACTACACAAACTAAAGAATTTTCAATTCAAAAGTAGAAACAAATTAAAATTATGTGTTCATTGATTCATAGGATCATCGTTTTTTACTTTGTTTTTATATATTAAGCAAAATCTTAAAGATTTCTGAAAGTTTTCGCTTAAGGATTTGCAAAAATATATTATGTTTAATTGTGTATTGATATTTTTTTTTTTTTTTTTTTTTTTTTTTTTTTTTTTGTTACCTTTACGTTAGCTCTTTACATTTAAATGTATATTTTTGCAAGTAAAAATTTATTTTAACTTTGGGAAATCTACTTAAGATTATATAAATGTAGAAAAACAATCGATTATGTAACATAAAAGTGTAATCATACATTTATCTTTATAATAATACTATTGCTTAATTATATTATAAATCAATTATTAAAATAATGCTCCATACTGTAGTTTATGGTTAAGAAATAACTTATGTTTTTCCATTATGTAATGTATATAATTAAAAAAAAAGCGCAATGCCCGTTGTTAATATACTTATTTTTCAATATTAATTAATTAAGAATTACAAATAAAAAATATAAATAAACATTTTAAAACGAGTGTATAATTCAATTAGAATTATTAAACTTCTTTTAATGGTAAAAATAATTCATTTGACAATTACAAATTAAAAACAGATTGTTTCACTTTACAAAACAAACAAAAAACAACAACAAAAAACATAAAAAAAAAAAATGATAAAATAAAAACATGTGTAAGGTATCTAATGAGATACAGTAACAACTAAAAAAATAGCATCTGTTGATCAATTAAGATTTGTTTTTGTCATTGAGTTTAGAATTTGAGCATAATGATTAGAAGAATTGAATTTTTAGTGAAATTTTATAAATAAGCTGTTACTAAATATTTCCTTTAACGATTGTACAAGCGTGTAAATATTAGATAGTTTATAAATATTGTACCAAAGGCCAATAGAGAGCCTCAAATTAATGGTGTGGGTGAACTGACTCATCGACTTTCCTTAAAACGAGCAATAATAAGTTTTTATTTGATATTGTCATTGTAATATTATTGTATGTAAATTTTCTTTTAATATAAAAATTACTTAAAATTTAAAGTGAATATGGTTTTAATGGCAATTTTTTCTCTTTATATCCAAATATTTATATCCCCGTAATGAGTTGTTTTTTTTTTTTTTTTTTTTTTTTTTTTTTTTTTGTCCAAATCGGAGGGCTTCATGCATATAAAGATAAACCGAAATTCCAGAAGAAATTTTCAAGTAAATGTGAAAATTGATGCAAAAATAACGTAGAATCTCGGAGAAAATAATGGGGAGGGGGATGGAATGACGACATAAGAAGAGTCTACAAGAGAATAAGAATCTGGTTTCTTGCTTTTGATTTTAGTTTCAGTTTGTTCTTTGGTTACCAGGGTTTTGGTGCTAAGGTAACGCTATTTTTGTTTATCTTCAGATGCAATTGCTCTTAATTTAACTTTTGGGACAGTTCTTAACGTTATCGTATCTTAAATTTAAGGAATATAATTGATACTGTGGAATTTATTTCAAATTAATCATTAATAAATTATATATTTATACAAAAAGACATTCTTGTATTTCAATATGTTTTAATTAAATGTATAAGTGTGATGTATTGTTTCAATAAAGAATCGTTAAACAAAAAAAGAAGTTTTTCAATTGAATTTTTTTTTTTTTTTTTTTTTTTTTCGTAACTTTGAACCATTTTTTTTTTTGTAAAAAATGGTTACGCGTATCCGAAGAATCTAATTTCACATAACGCGAGCCAACAACGATGACGCGAGATATATTTGGAGGAATTTCTTGATTAAAATAGAAGCGTTCGCTGGATTGCGTTACTTATACAATACGTATTCAATACTGAAAAAACAATCGTAATTTTCAGAAGTACCTCCCTTTTGTTTTATCGCCAAACGTAATATTTACAAAAACTATATAATTATAGTAAATAAGAAAAATATTCAACTTATATAAATCCTAAAAATTAATGTATTTTTTTCAAACATATTAATTGTGTAAAAGAATAATTTAGAGTTCAGGATGATGTCTACTTCAAAGTTGGTGAATAAACAATTTAACTCTCCAATTAATTTGTATTCGCCACAATCCATTCAAGAGACACTGGATCGCCGAACAGAAGTTTTATCTAATGGCGCTATCGGGTAAGATAACTTTTTAAATCCCTTAACTGCATTAAAATTATAAAAGTAATAGGAAGAAAATTATTCAAGGTTATGTTTGTCGTAGTAATATTCAATTATTGTAAAATAGAATTATTAAAAAATATCAACAAATACAAGAATTAAATATGCTCGATTCTCAAATTTAAAATAAAACAACATTTTATTTCAAATAAAAGTCTATTAAAATTCAAGTCATATAAAAATGAACAATTATAGAATAGGAAAAGAAAATATATTTTTTCAACTTTACTTGATTCGTATTTCCTGAAAAAAAAAATAGCTTTTTTTTTTTTGCGAAGATTATAATAGTTTCTATATTAAAATATTTTAATATATTTAAACATAAAATATGTTGCAATAAGTTAGAAAAAATTTGTTTATAGTTTTAAAAGTTTTTTATACAATTGATAATAAAAGTTTTCTGAATATATGAACAGGTTTCATGATTAAGTAAAAATTTTTCAAAAATATAATTTTCGACATTTGTTTAATATGATATTCAATTACATTTACAGCATGTTTCAGGATATTTGTATATTGTTTTTTGTAGTACAGAAATTCTTGTAATAAATAAAATATTTTTTAATACTATTTAACATTTTCAATTATTAAGAAGAATAAAATTTGTATGCTTATATATATGAGTATTATGTATAAAAAAAAAAAAACATAAAATTGTTTTTAGTAGTTTGAATATTCATTTTATAACATTTAATATGTAATGTTTTAAAACAAATTTAAAATAATTGTCTTGTATTATTATAATTATTATTATCTTATTAAATTTATTATATATATATATTAAAATTATTATTGATAAGCTGTTAGAAATCTAAATTTACAAACATAAACAGAAATAATAAAAAATTTGTAATTTTCTATTTAATGTAAGTCAATAACTATATTAAAAATAATTTTGATAGTTTTCAAATAGCTTCAGAAGTTTTAATTTATCCTTGTATACATTTAAAATATCGTCATCTGAATTTGTAAAATAATTATCTGCTATTAAATATTTTATCTAATTAATAAATAAAATATTTTATATTACTAAAATTAAAATTAATTTATATATCAAGAGTAAATTTTATAACAATTTTTTTTTAATTAACGGAAAATGTTTACATCCGAAATTTACTATAATTATCGCTTAACTTTTTCGTAGAATTATATTATTTTTTATATATTAAACGTGTATTTTTTAAAAAATTGCTCGTTTATAATTAAAAAAATATTATTTGATAAAAAAAAAAAATAAATAAAAAAAAAAAGAAACAAGTTATTATTGTTATTTGAATTTTAAATTCATTTAAATAGAATTTTTTTAATATTTCAATAAATCACTAAATAAAAAATATTATTTCAAATCCTAATATTTTATAATACATAATAATTAAAATTTTCACTTCTTATGAAATTATTAATAGAATAAAATATAGAATGTTAACTGAACTAAATGTTAAATGAACACTTAAGTATATTGCATTACATATTGTAAATATGAGTTCCAAAAGAATTTTCATGTCAATTGTCAATTGTATTAGAATCACGTAAGAGCCATAATAATAAATTCAATTGAGATAAGAAAAATTACACCGAATTATAGCTGACGCTTGTTTTTAAAAACACAATTATTATTAACAGCAATAGAGATTGAGGCGTCGATAAATTTGAATAATAAGAGTAATTCAGGGCATCTGTATATAAAATGTCAAGATTGTCCAAAATGTGATTCAGCGCAGAGTGAAAAAACACGTACAGTAAAAAAAAAGAAATGACTATTACGAATTGACATTTGTCATGAGGCTGAAGCATCTTATGTACTTAAGTGAGTTTAAACGTCACACGCTTTCGGGAAATCTATATCAATCTTTTTCTTTTTGGCGGTGAATAGAAAAGCTACTATTAAATCGCATGAAGTTCCGTTGTACATCTGAAAAGTAAATTTTTTATTACATGTTTGTTTTATGTTAAACTTTACCTATTTGTAGATTCAAAAGTCTGATTTCATTATTCAAAAAAAAAAAAAAAAGAAAAAAAAGAAAAAAAAACAAGAATATTGAATAATCTTTTCTAATAACAAATTTCTTAGACGAATATCATTCAAATTTATCCTTACAATCTTGGACATCAATGAATAATATGTTTAGAAAATAATCCTTGATTCTTTCTATTACTCTTTTTGTTTTATCTAAAATTTACTTTATTAATGTTTACTCTGTATATATGTAGATCTGTAATAATTATTTTAAATGTATTTATTTGATTGTTAAAGGACTATAAAGAAAACAGTTATTTAATACGAAAATGTTAATAATCTTTTGGTTTTTAAATTTCTTGAAGCTATGTTTGCCATAATTTCTAAATTATCTATTGCTTTTATTGATTCTTTGTTAATTATTTATTTATTTCTTATTCAAGGTAAATAAAAGCAGCTGCATTCGTTAATACATTTAATCTTAATATCTTATTTTCTAATGTTCATATAAAAAAAAAAAAAAAAAAAAAAAAAAAAAAAAAAAGAATGATAAAGTTATTCATATTTAATCTATACTTAGATTATTATGATATAAATAATATATAAATGTGGGTAGTTGTAAAAAATTATAAAATTATGCTCATTAAAATATTATTTAAAATATATATATGACTACGATTTGAAATCCAAATGTTAATATAGAAAATCCGCAGCTATAAAAATGTAAATTTTTAAATGTGTATACTCTAGACAACATAATGAATTAATTACGTCTTTTACGTGTCTAGAATTTGAAAAATAATAAAATAAATAATGCGAATGTCACTCATTTATATGGGACATTTTTCTTAACATAAATAATATCTTGCTCTAGAAAAAAATTTGAAAAATTATGATTTTATATTTATTTTAACTATTTAATTAAGAATTTCTATATTTACTTATATTAATAAATTGTAACAATAGTATTTTCACTGAATGTTAATGTTATTCAATATTACAGAATTGATTTCCATCAATTGGCCAAGCCTACGAATTTACAAAATAGCGCTGTTTTAAGAATGCTTGAGGAAGAAGAAAGAATAAAGGCAGAAAAAGCTGGTAATTAATGATATTTGTATACTTAAATATTTATTATATTTGTATTTTGAAAGTTCTGTCTTGTTTAATCTTGTTCTCTTAAAACTCACAAAGATTAATCTTAAAGAATTTGATAAAATACATGGTTTACTGATTAAATAGTTTTTGCACAAAAATTGTAATTATTAGTTATTTATTATACAGTATTTATCAAAGAAAGATTTTAACAAATTTACAAATTTCAATGATTTATGTTAACATACATCAATTCAATACTCAAGTACAACATTAAAAGCCTTACAGGGAATAAGATATTTAGCGTTAAATTAAAAAAAAAAAAAAAAAAAATGGATTTTGATCGTACAATACCTTATAAAATGTCAGATGAAATATTATTTGCATATGTTACTAGTAGTATCTAAAAATAAACAGTCATTTTACTTTATAAATAAAAAAGACATATAGATATACGTATTTACATATACTAGATGTGTTTGTAATCTACATTAATGTGTTATACATATTTATATACAATTTACTTGCAAATTAATTCAATGCAACATTCATTCGCCTCCTATATTAATAATCATTATGTATTTAAAAAAAAAAAAAAAAAAAAAAAAAAAACACCGGCTTTCTCTATTTTGTCGCATTCACTAATCCGTTTTCATCATTATTTTCGTCAAGCACCCTTCTATGCCCTTCCCTTATTCTTTTCTTTACTATACCCTTTGTTTCAATCTTTTTAAAACGAAGAATGCTAATTACCTTAGGATTTCTATACCATTTCTTCCTCTATGTAATTATATACATTAATTTAATTAATTATTTACACGTGTTTATTTTGAACTCGCATTAATATTATATAAATCGATGAATATTACGGACTTAATATATTATTAGTAAAATGTAGCATTGATATTTCCAAGTTTCTTTTTAATTAATGAATTAATGACAAATTTTTGTTTTCATTTTAAAAATTACTACTGAATCAATAATCAGTAGTCGTTAAAATATATGTTATAAATTTTTTAAATTTTTAAAATTTTTATAAAAATATACTTTAAATCAAAGATGCTACATTTCATGTATAAATAATTCTATCAACAGAACAAATTTGTTGCTTTTCTTATTGTGTGTGAATATAATCTTGTCACATCAAGTGCTACGACCTTCCTCGGAATTTGAGACAAACTTGGCGGTTTTCCCGCCGTTGTCCATGTGAACTTGGCTCACAATATCACATACTGATAAATGTTCTTTTTAATCCCAGTCAGAAACGTTCTTCCTTGAGCACGAGAAGTCATCGTATTATTAAAGTATTCCTCTCTTCCGTTAGCTTGTTGGCATTTAAATTCTTGGCTGCTTGTTCTTTTTGAACAATAGTGCTTAATCCTAATATAATTTTGCAACAGCTAACGCTTTAACATCAGGTTTTATTTTACAAGGCCTCTACTATTATTACTTTAAGAAATAACTGATATGTAGAATATCATTATACACTGCCTCTACCGATCATGGTGTTTAGACAGAAAAAACTTCAAATTTCTCTAGTTTTTGGTAGAATTATTTATTCCGTGAAAAAAAAAAAAAAAAAAAAAAATTGGTCTATCTTGGAATATTGTCTACATACAAATAAAAATCTTTCGATAACAGCGCTTACATCGACAGTTTCTTCGCTTCAGCTTCGTTTTATCCTAATCAAAATAAAGGTGACACTGTTCATAACACGAAGCGATGATTATTTAATTTGAGTCTATATTTTATTTTTTTATTATTTTTTTTTTTTTTTTTTTCAAGTTTAAATTGAAATATTTTTCTTTATTACTGTGATACTTGGTCCCGGTGCTAGTAAACTTCGCGAAGATTACATTTGTATATTTATTCCAAACTGAAATAGGACCAACTATGTTACGAGCGTTTGGTGGTAACAAGTAAAACAACCACTTCGTCCCTATAAATTTAATTTTGTTTTGATTGTTATTTAATTTCTCATGATAAAAAATGATACATTAATAGCGGAAATAGTTACTTTATTACACAAATACTTTATCTAAAAACTTTATTATATGCCTATGTAATGATGATAGTCTCTTCAAGATTTGCACTTAAAACTTCGAATACCAAATACGCCTGTTTAATCGGATAGTACTCAATAGTTGTAATATATTTTCAATAAAAGAGCACTTGACTATTGTACACGTTTTCTCGTACTATTTATGGTACTCGATACAATAACAAGGTGTTGTCGCTTCAAAATGACCGATGTGATGATTTAAAATCAGAAAATAGAATGACTTATTGGAGATCTTTCCCACCATACGTAACAAGATATATCCATCTTGTAAGACTACGTTATTATTATTCTCTCGTGCCAACTCAGTCCAACTCTCGATTAATTAATGGACCGATGTATTACTAAAAATGATGTAAAGTTTTCAATTGAATTGTGAAATTGAAGGTAGTTGAATCAAAATCGGTGCAAGTCGGCTGCGCTTATTGCGAAATTTTTATGAAAATTACTTTATTGTAAATTTTAATTACGTTCGTGAAAATAATATAATTATAACTCTGATACAGTGAAATTTATTAAAAAGCAAGTAGGTAAGCTATAAATAAACCTTATGAGCATATGAATATAAAATAAAAATATAATAGTAACGATAAAATATCGTAAGAGCACAGGTTAATTTTTCTTTCGTAATCATCCATGTATAAACATAATTCAAACTTTTGTAGTTAAATATATAAATATATATAAGAACATATTTATTTATTAAATAATCCCTTTTATAAAGACAACAGAATATCTTTACGAATATAAAGTAGAGAAAACCTATTAAATATCTTGCACTTTTTTTTATAATAAATTATGAATAATTCATGTATAAGCATTGGATTTATTTATATAAAAATAAACAATAGTAATAAAACGAAGGGAAATAATCCTTGTAGTATACTATTAACTATTAAAATACTTATGATCTATATATGGTAATACAAACACAGTATGAACTATAATTGAAAGTATTTTATATTTTATAAACTCTTAAAATTGTAGTAATATTTATTAATAATATATATTTACCGTACATTAACCAACATAAATCAATAATTTAGATTTAATTTATAATTAATTCTGCTTTAATAGAGGTTGCAATGTGTTTAATATATTTATTTATTTCATGGTAAAATTATTTCGAGAAATTCAGACAAAAATTTGTATATTCGAATTTGTATAATAACAAAATTTATAATAAATGTTTATATTAAAGAGGAATTTACTATTCATTAAATATATAAATTTTTTATATGTATAAATAGATCAATTATTTAAATAAGTACTATCTAAGTGAAACTAATATAATATCTTTTTAATTAATGAATAATACAATCGATCAAAAAGTTTTTTAATTTATTGATAATTGGTAATTTTGGAATAATTAGTCACAGCTTCTTAAATAAAACTTCTTTTATTTTTACATCTAAAGTTATGAAAAAACTTTGAATTACTTTTTAAAAAATTTATAAGTTTAGCTCCTGAAACATTGACATTAATACTATAATAATAATTTTACTGTTTTGCAAATTAAATCATTCGCGATTAAATTTGAAATGTAAATTTCTGTTAAAAATACTCTTATCGATTTACTAATTCAGCAAAATAGCAGTAAAATTTATTAAATACAAACGTTAATATTTATTATATACATTGTAAAATAAAATAAAAGTGAAATTTAATTAAACAGAATTTTTAATACTAATTATCTTTAAATCATTACGGAGCAAAGATCCATTCGAATATTAAATTTAAACGTTTAATTTTAAAGATCAACATACCGGGTTTAGCTTTATTAAATTAATAATTTAAAATTATATAACATTAATTATGTATAAGCGTAATATAATCTGTAATATCCATAATATAACGATTAGTCATTATAAGCATATATGTTGACTATTTATTTTACTGTAAATAAATATATTTAAGAGCTCGGGAAATAAAATACATAATTACGAACTTAAATGTAATATTAAAAATATAAAAATGAAATTTAGTAATTTGTAGGATGCGTTATATATTAAAAAATTTCGTTGTATCGACGAATTTTTTTAAGTTACTTTATATATTTTTAAATTATTTTTGAGACTTAAACTACGAGAATTGTAATTTGCATTGTAATCTTGTATAAAATATTTTATTTTGAACATATCATACAATAATGTATGTAGAGTTAATAACATAAAAATAATACTACTACTACTAATAATAATAATAATAATAATAATAATAATAATAATAATAATTATAATAATAAATCATTGTGCAACGAAATATATATATATATATTTTTTTTAATAAATACAACCGAATATAGAATTGCTAATAATCAAAAGGAATTTTCATTCAAGAATAATTGTATGTACATCATACCAAAAAATGACAATACATTTATGACTTTAATTAATATAATTATAATTTATTTTATTTTGAGAATTCATTGTTGTTCTTAACATATAATGTTAAAAAAGATTAAGCAATACGAAAATTAAATGAAAAAGAATTTTTTTGGCTGGGGTACCATGAAAAATAGGCCAATGGAAAAACCTTCCTTATTCTCATTTGCTTTTATATCCAGATTATCGACATTTCTGACATTTAATTACAAGTTTATACAATAATTAGTGATGTTTTTGCGATAATTATTCTTTTTTTTTCTTTTTTTTTTATGTATTACAAACAGTAATGTATATAAATATAACAATAGTGTATGTTAGATTCTGATAAACAAGAATCTTGTTATTATAGTATAAAAGAATAATAAAAATATAAATTAATTGTAAAAAGTACTTAATATAAATTAAGAATGATTTAAAAATATATATTAATAATCATATCTTTCTATTTAGAATATAAAATAGTGATATCTTTGTTAAATAATAAATCAATTAACAGAAAATTTGTTAAACACTGAAACTTCACTAGCAACGCCATAAAATTATATATAGGCAATTTTGTCCAATAAAATATTTCAACATATATATAACCCAATAAAATTTTTTTTTTTTTTTGTATTAAAAATAGTTTCGCAAGTAAGTAAAAATTACTAATTAACCAGTGAACATTTAATAAATATTTATTAAATAATAAATAAATTAGAATATAATAGTTATTATATTACATATGACATGTTTTTAAATTTATAATTTTATATTAATAACAACAAGATAATATAATGATTATGATCAACTTATTTATAATACGTGATGAATTAAATAGTTTTATGGCTGATCTCGTTAAATCGAGGCCATTGGCATAATTATAATGAAAAGTTGATATACGAAAATAGTTGAGATTTATGTGGGAAATCGGTTACAACAGTAAATTTCCATTTTTAAATGAAAACGTCTATAAATGCTAAATTGAAATAGTACAAAGTAACTCAATTTTCCCTCTATCGATCTATAGTCGCATTCATATTAAATATAAATGTAGATTTATATGTCACAATACGAATAGAGAGAAAATATCTGCATGATCACGTGTATAAAATTGCTTCCCCCTTTTCGTGATTTATCCCTACTCCATAAATTTATCTCGCTTAATAGAAACTTGAACTAATGTTCAGATATCCAAATTATTCGTAGTTAGAAACCGAAATATGTACACGGTTGTTTAATTAGTCGAGTATGAGAAACAGCAAGATTAATAATAAGGTACGTGCTATACTGGATTTATCTAATTTTATAACAAAACTTAATAAAGCGTTTCTGTATACATTTTGAGATAATAAAATAGATAATAAATTTTGAAATGTATTTAAAATAAATAGTAATACAAAATTATAATAATTTTTTTTATTTTTTTTTTTTTATTAATATAAATAATAATGAGTAGTGAATTAGAAATAATTCATATTAGTAATTAATCAATTTTACAGAAAAATTTTATAGCGCTGTGTTCGAGTATTCTTTCAATTTTTATAAAAAGTAAAATTTCAACGATAAAAACTTGGTTACCTCGAATGTATATTATATTAATTAATATTCATTAAATTTATAAATATTAATAAAATAACTCGTCTGTATAATATGTAAAATTCGATTCCTAAAGTTTAGATAATAAATAGCTGTAAACGTATAAAGAACAATGATTATCAGATATAAGGAAACAATTTAATGATGAAATGTTTATTAAAGGAATAATAGGATGCAATAATAAAATTAACTTGAAAATAAGAGTTCATTAAAAGAATTTAAATTTTCATTATTAAAAACAGTTTTTAAAATATTATAAACTATGTTTGACAAAAATGTACGAAAATAATATGAATATACTACGAATATTTATTATTTCCGATATTTAATATAATAAAAATAATATCTATTGCTAAGTAAATATATTAGAGAATTTTCAACTTTAATATATTATTACAAAATAAACATTATTACTGCACTATATTTCAATTATTGAATATAATTTTATTGAAATAAAATATTAATAATTCAATTGAAATAAGCTTTTAATTTTTAAAATAATATTTATTTACAATTAATATTATTTTATATTTTTCAATTAATGTATTTTTTTTATATTTTGATTACATATTTATAAATGTATAAATAACTTTCACCATATATAAATCATTATGCATTTTTTATATTAGAAATAAATTTTATTTGTACAATTTGATTGCCTAAAAGTTTTCTAACATAATAATATCTAATTTTTAACAGTTCTACAGTTAACGGATTTTAGTGTAATTTTTGAAAAGCTGAACAAATTTTTTTAAATCAATATTTAGCAGTATTGAAAGATTTTAATTAAAATATTTCTAGATTTATCAATATTAAATATAAACAAGTTAAATAGATGATTTAAGGGCGATTTAAAAATTTCATAATTTTAAATTTACTTTTTAATTAAAAACTAAAATATTCAAAAACTTATATAGTAATTATGATTCAGCAAAATTTTATTTGACACAAATGTTATACTTTATATCAATGACTCTATCAGCAATTGTTTTTCTATTACGCGTATAAAAATTATCTAAAGTATCTGCAACAATTAGAGACTTAAAAGTCAACATTGTTTTTATAATTTAATAGATTGGAATTGATTTATTCAAAATGGACATCATTATTATTAACATTTATAATAAAATACATTTCATTATTTAAAATTAGGTTTAAAAAAAAAAAAAAAAACTATAGTCAATATCAATTAATTGTAGACAACAAGTCAATTTTTTTTAAAGATATTTATGTTAACAAAGAACATATCCTAGCTTATAAAATTATAGTATTATATTAACTTATAGACGTTACCGAAAATTGTAATTGACTATAAGTATTATAATAATAATTTAGGTTCATTAATAATTTTTCAAGTTTACCTATTTAGTGATAGATGAAGCTCTTAGTTGAGTCAGTGTTTTTTTAAATATTTGCTTAATGTATAATCGATAGATTCTCTATCATTATCAGTTATCATTCGAATAATTGCATAGAATTTGTAAGATAAAATTTTTTTACACACAAATTAATTGTAAAACTCAAAAAATAATTTATAGCTTTCCAACATTTTATACAGGTTTGAAGAGAGTTGCGTGGCCACCTCCTCCAGAAGGAGAAGACTACTTTAATTGTATTGAACAGGATCCTATACAAGCAAAGGTAACTAACTCGATTTATCAATATTAGTAATAACTTTATAAAGTTCATAATCCCAATCGGAGCCTTTTGATATAAAAATTTACATAAATATTTTTATCGTTGTTCAATTATAGGGTTGTATTTTTATTTTTATATATGAATTGTAATACTTGTTCAATTTGATTTTTAAAACTGATGCTAGAAATAAACATATATTAACTTAAAAATCCTTATTAATATCGGAAATTGCGATATGATAAATTGTCTTAATCAACATATCGATAAAATTAAAGTAATTTTATAAATGTAAGAATAAGTAAAAATGTGTGTTTTTATTATAATAAATTTAATAGAATAAGTTTTTTTACCTTCAAATATTTGGTCATCCAATGATTATATTGAAAACTATGATTATATAATTTTAAAGATTTTTTTTATAAAAAAATACTCTTATTACAATTGTCTATAATACGGAAAACCATATAAAATATAAGAATAAATAATAAATCATTTATAAATTATATATATTTATTTTTAGTAATGCAAATTTCTGTTTAAGGTAAATTATTAACTAAAATATTAAATAACATGTAAAATTATGTAGATCTATTTTTTATGTAGTGCAACTGTATAGTATTTACTCGAATTACTAGTTAGATTCGTATTAAAAGTAATAAATAATATCCCGTAAAATGCACTTAGTGGAAAGACGTAATTTCTCGTGACTCTATACAACATTATAACTGCCCGCATATACTAATAATATTGGCTTTTTAACATAAATTTGAATATAAATGTATTTATCATAATTCGTTTATCTATATATATATATATATATATATATATATATAATTTGCTTATAAATTGTTTAATCAAGTTAAGGTGATTACTATTAAAAGTAGAAATTTAGAAATTTGAGTAATTTGATAAAACTTGAGAGATGAGTAAACATAAAATTAAAGCATCCATGCTAAATTCGCTATTAATTGAAAAATGTGTGATGGTCTAATTTTAAGGATAAAATCGGAATATCGAAAATAGAATACAGTTATAGAGTGCCAAGTGGGCAGGTAAGACACTAACAATAGCTGAGGCGCGCTCAATGTCACCAGCAAAGTAGCCTAAATTTGGTCTTTTATTTATGAAAACGAATTGAAAACAAAAAAAAACAAAAAACGCAAAAAAAACAAAAAAAAACGCGATTGTACAAAAGACTCGTGGAGTGAACGAGTATGTATTGTACGAGAACGTGAGACCAGCGATCGAGGAGGGCTAAACAAGACAACAATACGGGCAAATACCCGGACAACGCCAACCCCCGCAATTCCAAGGATTGCATTTGCCGACGAAAAATTGGACACCGGTGGTAGCTCTCGTGCCGCCGTCCTCATTGCAAACTAATACGATATCGGCACCACTCATCACCTGGACAAACGCGGCCACGAGAAAAATTCATGCCTTGTATGAGTACGATGAGACCCGATTTCAGAGTCAGCAGAATTCACAAAGCCATATTCTTGGTAGCTGGAGTGATAAGCCTCAACAAACCTTATCTATTAGACAGGTGAGCCGAGCGATTCAAAAGGCTCCAAAAGGAAAGCATCAAGTGTTTATCTTACCAGCTGTCTTTAATTATGATTTTTCATTACTTCACGAGTGTGTATTTTCTTGATCTTTTTATTTTGTCAATATCCTTTTGTTTATACTCTACATAATTAATATATTCTATCTTAACCAATCGAACGTTTATTTACAGGCGTATCTGAGAATTATATAGGTATTTTTTATACAATAAATACTTTTAAATTACATCGTATTGCTTTATCATTAATTTATCGTTTCCAAAGCAGTACGAAAGCTGCGAAATCTACGAAAGCTCATATATTGATTAAACAAAAAACAAAAAACAAAGGGGAAAAAAAAGCACGATCAAGAAAACATTGACTTACATTTATCGAGTAAATGCATCAATGAAAAAATAATTTCTTATAATATTCGTCAATTGTTCGCCGAATTTGTTCTCTTTAACTTTCACATATTTGTTGATATTGAAAAACATTCCATTGTCTGCTTATTATATTACTGTTTTTTTTCTTCCACTTAGCTTAATCTTATTGTAAATTAAAATAAATTTTCTTTAAATTCCATTATAACGTATTACTTTTTAATAGATAGCAAACTGAATGATCAGAGATAATATTAGAATATTGAAATTAATTAACATTTTATTGAAAATATAATTTTATTAGACTCTTTAATAGCTTTTCAATAAATATTATTTACATTCACATATTTTTATGTCGAATACTTGGCATTATAATTATTTTCAATTTCACAAATGACATTTTTTTCGTATTACGTCATGTCCTAAGTGTAATCTAGTACTAAGTTAACTATTAATGAACGTATCTGTTGTTATTTTAAAAATTACTTTCTAATAATTATACTAATAATGTAAATAACAAATGTAAAAAATATGTTTGTAGTAAAAGTTTTATATTTACTTTTCTAAGGGAATATTAAATATGTGTTAAAACTGCATTCTCATCTTTATTTATTTTTTAACTACTCTACTCGTCTAACAAAACCGTTAGAAACTTAATGCATGCAATCACGTATATTTATACAAAGATAAGATAATTGATCGACATATCACATGTCTACGGTTTCTGCAAGTTTGCCTAAAAGCTAATATATAAATAATTAATGATATTTTATGTTTAATGTATTAATAAAGAAAAAAAAAAAAAAAAAAATTATAACATGCCAATTAAGAATAAGTGAATTTTTTGTTCTAAAATGTTAATCTTCGTTAAATTCACCTTAACGCTTTCATAAATTATAATTAATTTAAATTTAGCTTGCACGTATCGTTCTAATATAAAAAATAATCACGCATGAGTAATGGATACAATACTAATTAATTGTTAAATCGTATTAGTTTTAACCGTATTTTTAAATTATCATTATTTTAACTTTGAATCGAACTGAAAATAATAACTTTTTGAATAATTGCATTACGAAATTTTAATTACAACAAAAGAAGTAAATATTGTAGCTTTATAAAAATTTTAATATATATATATATATATATATATATATATAATATTTTAGTAAATATTCATATTAATTCATTTAGCTGGCATTTAACCTATTCGTTTTGTTAAAAATATATTCTTTTAAATAAAAATTTTTTTAAATTATACTTTCATAATATGCAACATTCCAAACTCATTATAATGAAATCATACGACAATTTATTTATATAGTTAAAAGTTATTTTAACGTTAAATAATGGATAATTTAGAATTCATTTGATTAAGGAGTCTTAAATTTTATGTGCAGGAACAATATTCACAAGATTATTATCAACAACATAACACAAGAACACATTTTGAACCACCGCCAACAGTTATAACATTAAGACCAGAGCCTCCAATTTCACAGGTGATAATTTATTAATATAATTATTCCATAATTATATGTGGATTTATAAATTATTCCACTGAAAATGGTGATTTTTGAAAAGCAATTTTATACACGTTTGATAAATTATTTCAAGTATAAGAAAAGTGTATTTCCACAAAATTTACTAATTTCCAACAGTTCGGTGTATTATACTATTATTATTTGTTTTTGTTTTTGTTTGTTTACAATAGACTCTTGCATAAACAATTACGTGGCGGTATATTTAGAGTTTAATAAAATCGAATAGTCGAAACACCGATAAATATTGATTATTATGCGATATGTAATAAAGCCAGAGCACAAAACTTGAATTTTGATGATGAATTTATGATTAAATACAAAATTGGAATTTAAGCAAAAATTACTTTTTGAAAAGCTTTTACGTAATTGTCGAATATTAAAGATAAATAAAATTGTTTGTAAAATAAACGAGATTATTCATCTAGTTGGTAAAATAACGGTGAGTGAGATGACAGATATCAATTTTGGAAAGCATCTTAGGATCGGAGAAAGTAATAGTTAGTTCGACTTTCAGACGCCGTCACCCGTTTATCAAGCGCAACCTGCTGCTATAAATCCTAATAGCAGCAGCAGCAGCAGCAGCAGCAGCAGCAGCATGCGCGGCGACCTGAAGTGGCCACCAGCCCCGGTAAAGGAGCAGGCAGAAGCCGAGAATCGAGCTCGAATTGAGCTTGCCAAAGGACCGGTTTGTCGTCCGCGGCGCGTCAACAAGGACTACAGTGGTTTTTTTGCTCAGCATTCCAGCACCAAGAATTACCCAGTGTACCGGGCCCCTCCCGGCACGCAGTACTTTACTCCAGCATACCAACAATGACAGAATCAGCAGTGCGAGACAACTACGAACCATAATGACGTTCTTCAGCTCCATGGATATATATATGAGAATACAATGTACTCATTTTATAAGTATATATATAGCACAGACAATCATGAGTTACCTTTCCAATGACTAATGAGAGCGCACAGGTTCGATTTAAACCTATGTACCGATTATTTTTAACGATGTAAAATAATATAAACTACTCTCTGTTACTTTAAATAAATATAGAACCTTAAGAGGATTCGTTAGAAATTTTATTAACTTTGACGCAATTATTACAAAACAAACATTTCTATTCGCTTTTGCATTATTTTTTTATCTTGAAATTTTATGTCATTTTTATTATTCCCGTATAAGTTAATTATCAAAGAATTCAACGCAATTAATTTGATTAAATTACATTAAATCTTAATTTTATATTTCTTTTGAAAATACATGCTTGCTAAAAGTTATTCACTACCGAACAGTGCTTACAGTATATTTATTAATAAATTAAAAGCATTGATAAGCAATTTTACTTTAATAAGCCTCTATATATTTGTCATTGAATTATAAAAATAATTTTGTATACAATAATGTCTAATTTTACTATTCTAAAACTAAGTATTCGTAAGGATTTGGAATAGAGTAAATGAGAAAAAATATATCGAAGTAAATATATAGTCCCGAAAATTTTTCACTGCAAAAAATATATCAATTAAAATAGAAATATAAGAAAAAACAAATGCAAATTTATGTTTATAAAAGATAAAATGTACCAAATATACTCGAATGATTTCGTTTTGTCTTTCATTATTTAAAACTAAATACTTGATTCTTCTGAGTGAATTTCTTTCAATCGAGAAATTTTTAAATCAAACACACAGTGTTTAATTTTATTCAATTAGATTCTAGCATAAAGTAAGTCCTAAGTTCGATCAACAAACTGTCAAAAACTCTGATTTGTTAACAGTGCAGCAAATAAATTCTCGGTTCATTTTAATTTTTGATAAAAGATTTTCATTTGCTGTGCATTATAAAATCATATAAACTTTTTTGTACAAACATGTATATATATATATTTTTTTTTTTTTTTTTTTTTTTTTTTTTTTATAGATTTAGTTATTAGACTAAAGAAAATCCCTGAGTTTGCTGAATTGCTTGCAACAACTTATGTCGAAGTCTATCTCGTGTTTGATATCTTGGTAGATCCAGAAGATTGAAACAAGTATGTGCTACGGGTAACATTTTATCATCGGACATTGGCTGAATAGCAATCTAAAGTAGATAAAAAAAGTAATATTAGTAAAAGATTTGTTATAGAGTCATTTAATTTCTCTTGGAAATCAAAGAAAAATTTATTACTTTTATTGCTTTCATGCCTTGCAGGGGAATTCTATCGCTACCTGTCAAAAACAGCAAAAACTTCTTTTTTTGTTCAAGTGATAATTCGTGAAAAACTTTCCAAAACAGTATAACAGTGGGATCTTCTTTTGTATATCCTTCTTTATATATAGCATTTTGTTCCAGTTTCTGCCAATCGTATTCTTCATTACCAATAACAACTGCCATTAATTCATCACTATGAAATAATTCTAAAACACGACCACCGCACACTTTATGAAAGCCTTTATAAAAAGCTTTAAAGTGCGAATCAACTGATTTATTTAAAATATAATCAACATACAGTTCAACAAATTGTTTCCTAAAAGGAGGAAAAAAAAAACATATTGATTAATTTCGTTTTACATTTCTAAATGAATACATTATAATATATATATCAAGATTTTTTAGGCTCACTTATTATTCATAGTTACTGGAATTTTGCTCCCATTTGGAATAAGTTCATATACTTTTTCCTCTCCAAAAACTTGTCTTGAAACTTCGAAATTTAAAGCAAAAGTAGCCTCTAAATTCTCTTCTTCGTAATCTAAGATATTTTGTAAGCTCCTGTACAAATATCAGCAATATTAGTTTCATGAAATATATAGCTCAATTCACTATATATTTTAGATTTTATACCTTGCAAGAACTGGTGACATACTTTTAATATCTGTTAAACCAACTGACTCATTTAATAATTTCTTATAAAGTGCCAATGGAAACGGTAATTCAATTATTATAAAATTATATATGGCAAGACCACATAATAGACCAATTAAGAAATACATAACTTCATCTTCAAAAGAATCCTCGCTAAACCAAATTGTTCTTGTTTGCTCAAACTCCTTAAACATACCATATTTTGGATCTAAAATTTCCTTTAACAAGAGCATAAAAAATTCTTTTTTTACGCCACCAACATCTTCCGCTTCTTCTCCGTGAAACTTTACCTTGAAAAGTTTATGGCAAAAATTAATTTATCTTGACTTTTAATTTTTGTTTTTTTAAGCAACAAAATAAATTATTGATAAAATTAAAGCAAACGATAATTACTCTCAAAGGTTTTTTTAAGTCATCCGATGAATAATCAGCTAACTCTCTTAATGTATCTGCTACTATATTCTCACGTGAAACAGTGAGTGTTACAAGCTGATGATAGTGTCCGATACCTGGATTATTTTCATGGAATGTACTAAACAATACATGAGTCAAAGTTCTGCTTGCTGCTTCGTTCATTGCCGATTGCATCTAAAACGTAATAAAAGATGTGTATATATATATATATATATATATATATGTATATATTATCTGTAAAAGCTATCGATTAATGGATAGTAAATCAGTTAATAATAATTTTAAACTATTACCTGAAGTGCTTGGTCTGTTTCTAGAAGAATCGTTTTAGCTTCTGCGTCAAATAAAAATGGATAATTGCAGAAAATTATTTTGTGATGCTGTAAAAATACCAAATAATACAACATACGTATAAGAAAATTAAAAATTTATATTTATAAAAAAGTATAATGAATTGATTACAGAATTTTTGTTAAATTGCCATTGACAATAATCTCCTCTGACATCGATATATTCAGTTAGCTCACGCAAGTAGAAAATATTATGTGGTACTTGTTTTCTATCGTTAGCATTATTCAATTTATTCAAAAACTTTAAAGTATCTAAAGCTGATTGTAATGTTGAATTCCATGAAACTATCTAAACAAATATAATAATTGCATTACAATATATTAACATTGCCATATTAAAAAGGTCTAACTTTATTCAATTATTTATATAAGACTATATATTTATTTTTATTTATTTGTTACCTTTGTTTCTTTTACATTAGGTTGCTTAATGAAATACACAACAATGGACTTATATATTCGTATAAATCTTTCAAAATAATATTTCGGTGCTTTAGTCCACCAACTTTCTAGAGTTCTCATTTCTTCTTGATTTAAACTAAACAATGCCATAGAAAATGGCTTATGTAAAACAGTACAGTTATCAGGGTTGGTAAAGCCATGGTATAGAGGCAATATTAAATAAATTCTAAGGCACTCTATATCCCTAGGTGATGTTATTAAAGAAGGAAGCAACACCTCGGTTATACAGGTCCAAATCTAAAGTGAAAAATTCTCATGATTGATTTTTCAATTTATCAATGAATATAATTTATTTTATTTACCAATTCGCTTATAGTTGTATTCACAATTTCAGATATCAATCCAAATACACGAGTTGCAACTTCTAAATCTACACCATGTTGTCGATACGAACAGTTATAGTGTGCGTTATTGGTTAACAAAAACGAGGCATTTATACAAGCTTGACTTTTAAATACTGTTTCTATATACCTATAAATTATATCAATTCAAAAGTGAATGTGACAAAAGAATATCAATTTTTATATTTTATAATATAAAAGATTGTTTACATCATCAAATCATGATCGACTGAAGAATTTTGAGAAATTCTTTGACAGGCAATTAATTGTTCCTCGTTTATAGTTAAAATTTGCGTAATAGGAAGATAAATGCGACAATCGTCTGATTCTATATTATCCTAAAACAGAATTAAAAGCCTTTAAGTATTTCATAAAGATACTAGTTATAAAATTAAAAATTAATATTAATATTGTCGGTACCTCGCGGTGCCTTACAATAGCGAAGCACTGATCACCACCGCTGAAAATGTGTTTTATAACATGCATTTCCGGAGCAAAATTTTGAGAGTCTACTTCCATTGCAGTTGGATCATTTTTAGAAATCCAAGGACCAAGTACGACCTGAGGCGTCGTAACACTACGAGCTGTTTTATTTCCAAGTTGACCAGATCCCCCAATGCCCCATGCATATATTTTTCTGTGCAACGGAACTAAAGCCAGAGTATGCCTTTTTCCACAAGATATCTAAACACAATAATTCCAATATATATATATATATATATATATATATATATATATATATATATAAGTTTTTCAGGAACACAAGTATCAATATTTAATATTCTAATTACCTGTGTAACAACACTTCCCATAAGTTCAATAATTTGCCTGGGTAAAATTTCATTACTATTGGCACCATGACCAAGTTGACCATACATTCCAGCTCCACAAGTGAAAACTCCACCGTCCTGCAAAAACAAAATAACAAATTTTTACAATAATAAGATATGCGTGAATTAAAAATTTGATCAAGATATTGAAATATAATACCATTGTAAGAAAAACGGTAAATTCTTCTCCACAAGCAACATATTTTACTCTGGCATTTCTCAAAGTTTTTAACAAATATGGAACGTATTTATCTGTAAAATCATTCATACCCAATTGACCGAATGTATTTTTACCCCAACCGAAAACAGCTCCTATATACAGTTTTAATATTACCATCAAATAAGAACATGAATTATAAAAATCAATAATCATACCATAATAAATAAATGATTAAAAATAGATATTTTTTAATTTACTAAACTATATTGACCTGATTTTGAAACGACAATACTGTGATAACCACCACAGGCAATAAAGGCAATAGGTACTGCAATTAAACCAGTAATAAGTTTAGGTTTCGCTTGCATTGTCAATTGTTGACCATGGCCCAGTTGTCCATTGCTATTCGATCCCCAACTATACAATTCACCATTATTGGTTAAAGCTAATGAGTGTTTTTGACCACAAGCAATTTGAACTACGATATTTGTAGCTAAAGATTTAACCATTCTAGGCATTTGCACTATAGCTAATGATGTATCCAAACCCAGCTGACCAACAGAATTATTGCCCCAACAAAATAATTGTCCCCAATTATTTACCGCTACAGAATGAGATCCACCACATGCAGCTTGTTTGAATGTAAATGCATCTAATCCTGGTAATAGTTCTGTAAATCATTGATGTAATGATTAATTGTAATAAAAGAAATATTTATATTATTAAGATGCACAAAATAAAAATAACGCAATATAGTTTTAATAAAAATAAAATCTTGTTAGTTTTCATTACGTAATCGTTTCGTTGGCTTTTCATGTCCAAGTTGTCCAGAATCATTATTTCCACATGAATAGATTTGACCATCTTCGGTAATAATAATGGTATGATTTTCTCCACATGCAACTATAATATATACACAGACACACACACACACACACACATATATATATATATACATATATTTTAAAGAAACTTATTTAAAAATATATTTAAGTAAATATAATCCAAAAATAATTTATAAACTAATTATATAAAAATTTATACTTTGCTTAACTTGCAATGCCTTTTGAAAGTCTAATTCTCTAGGTAATAAAATATTTTCATCCTCGATACCTCCAAGACCCAACTCTCCATGAACAGTACTACCCCAGCAGTACATATTTTTATCATTTGTTATCAATATTAATGTAAGACTGATTTCATTATTAAGAACAAAATGCTTGTGTCAATGACCCTAAAACATATAATTATACATTATAGTTTACTCGCCAGAAAATGATTGAATATATGTTTTAATGATAAAAATTAGAAAGTAAAATAATAACCTTTAATATATATATATATAATACATTTGTTTTGAATTTTCAATAATGCCGAAGGAAAAATCTATATCCAATTATATTTATTATCATGAATAAAATTACAAAATTTGAATAACTTTTTGTTAATAATTATATCAATAAAATATCGATTATACTCCAAACAACACATTATATTACATTTATTATTCATATTATAATTATTTTCTATTACAATCATTGATATACATTCTTAATCCTAACGGCGTATACAATATGATAATAAACTTTATAAGTCATCAATTCTTAAAATTAACATTATAATAATAATATAAATACCTGAGTTTTTAATGAAGCGATAAACAAATTAATAAATAGAATAATATATGATAATGAACTTTATAAGTCAACAGTTCTTAAAATTAACATTATAATAATAATTGAAATACCTGAGTTTTGAATGAAGCGATAACAGATTAATAAAATTAGAATTATAAATACTAAAAGCACAACACATACCTACAACTAAATTAGGAGTTTTAATCAACAATTGTCAAAGGTTAGGTCAACTAAAAATCAAAATCAAAGTTAAGTATGGTTCTGTTTTTTTTTTTTTAAATTAACATTATTTACTTTAACCATAAATTACAAAAAATTAATATGTAAGATATTACTACGCAATAAAATGTACACAATGACGAAGACAGTAAATAAAATAGAAATTAGCATTTACATAACCACAACCCGCACATATATATTACATGAAATTTTACTTACATTTCCGGAATTTAATATTACATACAATCGCATTCTATGTGTTCAATTTGAAATGAAGAAGGCAGCATAATTTTGTACACAATAAAGCTCAACAAATATACAGTAGATTTAATTGTCGAATAAAGATACCAATAATTGTGAGAAAATTTTCAAAGCAAATTTCTTTATTATTCCCAAAAATTCTGCTTACCAAATTCCAACCTAACCTTTGGCCATGACCTTCTCTAAACCTTACTTCACATATCGATTTTAAATGTGCAATTTTGTAATGCGACGCTTTGAGAATTATACATGAGAATTTGATGTGATACAATTAAATGTGAATTTGGCAATGATATTTTAGACAGCTGCTATTATACAAATAATTAATAATAAAATCATCATCGCCAACGTAAATCAATTAATCTATGTGTGTTGTGGATTTTAATTTTTGTAAGATGTATAATAGAATGTATAATGTAATACAGAATAAAGAAATTCGTTAAAATTTTAAATTATAACATGGATATCCAGATAGATTACTATATAACTCAATAAATTTATCTTAAATTTCAATATCGAATAAATTGTTATTTTATACAAAATTTCTATTTCGCATTCGAATATTACAAAGTTTATAAAAGGAATTTCATTAATATATATATATATATATATATATATATATATATATATATATAAAGAAAGAAATTTTACAAACAGACAAGATTGAAAATACTATAATGGATAAATAATAGATGAATTTAAACTTTTCAATGATATGATGATTACAAAATAAGTATAAAGATTATTGATTTACTTGGCTGTTTATTTACAATTAAATGCGTTTATTAAAAATTAAAAATATTTCAGACTAATACATCGGAAATAAATAAAATTAAATTAAATGTTTACTTATTTGTATCTAAATAATATTGCTTGACTATGAACAAGATTTCACATATAATCATAAATCAATTCATTTATAAGTATATTTTAAAAAGCTAATATGAAATAATAAAATTATCAGTTCCGCGACTCAAACAAAGCATTTCAATTCGATTTTACAATATTAAAAGAATCTGTCTAATTATTACAAACAAAATTAGTCAATCAAGCGAAAAAGATTTATTGAGTTAAAAAAGTAAGTTTGCAGAAAATACAAATTGTATATAACAATTATGTTTATATGGATAATCAACATATAGCATTGTAAATAATTCTATTATAGATTAATTTCTTCAAAGGCATAAAAATTCAATTTTCTTTACTAAATGCAATCAAAATTAGGATGAATAAAATATTTAACGCTTTTGTATTTTATTTACGAATTAACGCGTAGATTCGAAAATTTTACTCGAGTACACTAAGTAACAACATTTTTCCCAAAATTCAATATTAATTATATTTCTTTGATGTTAATTATATGTCAGCAATTCAATTTAAACAGTGATTATTTCCGAATAAAATCAGAATTTTTAATCTTAATCGAATAGCTCTAATTATTAAACAGTACTTGTATTATTACCAACACTTTTAATTTATATATTAACACGAACATAATTTTCATTTGAAGAGTATAACTTTTAAAATGTCATAAGGAAATTTTTATTTTTTAAAACAATTTTTGTTACAATAAATAATTATAAAGAATAATTTTTAAATTATATTATGATAAATATTATACAAACTATTGTTATAAAATTATTCTTTAAAGAATACATTTAAATATAGGAAATATGTGGCATTTCTATCGATGAATATATTGCTTTATTTAATATTATTTAAAATAAATTTAATTTAAAACAAATAAATGTATCTTTGATTAAAAAGAAATAGTATTGACAGCATATAAATTTTATCAGAGAAATAATTCAGGTTAATAGTTAATGCTCAATACAAACAATAATCTTTAACAATATACTTATAAGTTCTAATTTTTTCATGCATAAATGTCACATTTTCATATTAATATATATATATGAAAATATATATATATATAATAATATATATTATATATATATATATATAATTTCAACCAGTTTTACTTAAGCAATTTTTTTGTGCACGAAACTCAAGTAATCGAATAAATGAGAGGATAGAATAATAATTAGAAATATAATAATGAAATATGGTGAATGCTATTTAATAGTCACTTGGAACATAAATTTCAGTAACAATATAAACCTGTAACCATCTAGTGGACATGTATACTGCTTCTCTTTGGTGACCATCACTCCTCAAATCTTAAATAATATAATATATTTAATGCATAAAAACTATTATATAAGAACGTTAATCATTCATTTGCATTCGACATTGTAAATAAATTTTTAATAAAAGCTAAAATATATAATTACGGTTGGATATTATCTAAATATAAATACATAAGATTCAGAATATATCGCTTTTATTTTTTAAAACTATATTAAATAAAAGATTTAGTTATTTAAATAATGTAAAACTTATATTACAAATGCTAGATACATATTATAAAACATCAGAGTATAAGTACAACAAAAAATTAAATATTAAATTGAAAAAAAAAACAACCATTAATATTTTAATTTATATTTGAAATCCATTTAAAATGAGCGATAAAATGATTTTAGTAATATAATATAATAATGGTATTATTAAAAATAAAAATCATCGAATACAAAAATTGATATTATAAAATAATATGACCTTTGATCAATTTTAAATTGAAAATATGGAATTTAATGTTTTTTTTTATTATTCGTAATTTATTTTAAATTCAATGAAAATAATTAATTATTCTACATACATGTACGTACGCACATATATATAAAATAATAATGTGTAAAAAAATAATAAATATAAAAAGTTAAAATCCTAATAAGAAAATAAAATACACATTATTATAACATTTCAATTATTATAAAATTATGTAAATTATAATGTATACATATGATATAATATTATAATTTCAATAAATAATATTTTACATATGTATAAGGAAATCGAAATTAAAATACAAATCCTTAAAATAATTTGATAAAATAAGAAACAAATGTAAGTGTATAATGTAATTGATTGAAAATATTATAAATTAACTAATTAAAAAATGCAAAAAGATTGTTAACATATATTTTTTCCATATCTGAACAAATTCTATTTTATAAATATATTACTTTGAAATAGTAATTTTATTATAATAAAACGTTAAAATAATTATTATAACGCGCGCATTATATTTTATTTCATTTTTCAAACAATTTCTGATTTTAATTTTATCAATTATAGAATTGATCATTCGAAATTCAATTAGCCTTACAAGACTCTACATATGCATATATATATATATATATATATCATTTAATTATTTGAAAGTTTAAGGAAACTAATGAAAAAGTGATGTTTTTTTAATCGATATTTAATCATTTTTAATGTCATACCAATAACATGTTATGTTATACATTTTAATGTCAACAAAGATTTTGGTGATTTAATATTGAATCCATGTATTACACTACACTGTTACTTTATCTGAATTCTTGTTATGTTAAATAATCACATTTATGCAATAGTTATCTTCTATTTATAAACTTAAATGATCTGATAATAATTCAATCTATAATGTCTATACTTTGCAATTAGTTGAACTTGCACAAAATAATAAGAAATTTATTAAGAATCAGTTTTACACATATTACTTGAAGTTAAATGCTTGAAATTCACGAAAATTTTAAGTTCTTTTAAACAACTTATTTTTAAGTCTGAATAATAAATTTTAAAAATTAATCGAATTTCATATTAAAATTAATTTTATTATTGTAATGCGGTTTATAATAACAATTTTTTTTATTCTTTTTCATTCGCCAGACATTGAAAATTAATATTCTCTCAAATATGTAAATTAAATTTAATGATTAGTATATTTGACATTGTAACACAAATGATGTTTTATTGTGAAAAACCAAATAATTAAAATGCCTGTATTTTTCATATTTAAATTTTTGCAATTTTAACTACATATGGCTAACTTTTATAAAATTTCATATTATATCATCACAATAAATATATAACAAATAGAAAACAAATTTATTTGCAATTTATTATTATTCTACTATTTATGTTATAATAACGACATATAATATAACAATTTATATAATATTTTAAAGAGTTAAGGAATAATTGTGCTCGTTGAAAATATTAAAACTTAATTGATTAAATTAAATTCAAAGTAATTGATAATAATAATAAATTTGTTTGCGATATTATATTTTTACTTCGTTACTTAAAAAAAAATTTATTTAACAATAATAATAGAGATATTTCAATAATATAATGTAGAATAGTATTAGCTGGATCTAGCGATTTAGTATCCCGTGATTACAGATAGATGATGATGTTTTTTAACCATTAAACAATTGATAAGCTCACTCACTCAACCTACTCAACCTATTGAATTATATTGCGAAAGCAGAATTATTTATCGCTGATGTTAGACGCTCACATATGTTGTTATTGATGAACTTTTATATACTATTTGTAAGAACAATAGAGTTTATCCAAAATCAGTGTATAACTTCGTAACGCATGTTGAACATTCTTGTAAGAGAAAACTTTACTCACAAATGCACAGTTTTATAGTTGATAATACCGTCAGCTCATATGCTCATTGAGTGATATTAAACGCTACAATCTCAAATGATAATTTATGCAAATCAGATTTTTTTACTTTAAATTTTTTGTTTGACCTTTTGTCTTCCGATTTAAAATGTAACGCGCGTATTAAAATTAATCTATAAACAATACGATATTTATATCAACAATACGATTTATATCAACGCATATTTTATATAAATGAAGAAAGTAAGAAGTAAATTGAAAATTAAAAAATATTTATTAATATTAATATTATTATTTATTTTATATGTATGATTTTTATTATTTATTAATTTATTAATAACTTAACATAACTATTTATTATATCTAAAATGGCTTTTAGTAGCACGGAGAAAGATAATTATAACCGAAACAATTGATCAATTTTTACGCGATTTTACATCTGCCAATTATGTGATGTGAGAAAATTAAATTTGAAGAAACTATTACTTAATATTCTTGACTATTGCATTCTTCGTATGTACTTTTTTTTTCTTTACGGGCTAGTATTTTAAAATAATATTTTAAATTAAAACATTGAAAATATTTCTTAAATATGTCAATTAACGATTAAAATTAAAATCTGATTTTTCTTCTCTACATAAAGCAGATTTTGTATTAAAACATATTAAAAAAAAAAAAAATTCTCCATCCACTTCTGAGCACTATTTCTCTTTTTACCTTTAATTAGTCTCGGATATTAATTTTTCGTTTATATTTAAAACTAACTAGATGTAATTTAATTCATTACTAACTAACTGTATTAGACTTTTCGTTTGAAAACTTAACTTTGCAGAATAAAATAACATTTATTTAGAGAAATTTATTCATACAAATTTATATGATACATAAAAGTAATAAATATTATCTATTTGAACTATTATTTATTACACGGTAATTTTATTTATTAAAAATCATATTTATTAATTACATATTAAATATAAATTTGACATAAATAATGATATTTATATTCTTTCATATTTGTAAAAGAATTGAATATTACTTTTTTGATATGTAGAAAACACTTTATAATATATAAATATTCACTCATATGTTAATCAGGTAGTAGAGCGATGACTTATAATACAATAACATAATGACTTAATATAAAATAATAATAAAAAATAATATCTTGCTACTTCTCTTTTCTTTTTCATTTCGTTTCTTCTCATCTTGTCTCATTGTTTAAACGAACTCTTAAAAGGCTAAATTATATTATAATATATATTATAATATTATTATATTAAATTATATATTAAAATGATATGCATTAATAAAATTAGTATTTCATATATCGTACAATAATTATGATTTATTTAATAAATCTAATTTAGTAAGTAATTATTGGCTACTTATATTTTAATCTTAAAATAAAAAATACTTAAATACATTAATAAAATATATCTTAATGACTGTACTACCGGATTACATTACAGATGGAATGAGACGCTGGAGAAAGTTTAGAAGTGTTATGGGTAATAAATGTTGTAATAAAAGTTATCCACGTAAACGCGAATGAATCATCTTTTCAATTCGAAGAAATTAGTATTCGGAATTCAAACCTTTTGTACTTAAATCTCTCGGAAGTAACTCGTTCGAGCCAAGAAGACTACAAAATTTCAATCCGAGCATGTATGTGTCAACATTAATGTAAAATAGTATATATATGAAACTGAACAAATACCATAATTTAATTATTAATCTAAAATTATTATTTTTACTTTTTCTAATAGTTTTATAATATATTGTATAGCCATGCACAGGATATGTGCTAAAATTATAAATACTGAAACGAGATGAGATATTCATATTTGCTTTGGATATTTATATTATTAAATTAAACTATAAACTTGCTTATAAGTCTGTAACATTGACAGAGCTTGTGTAGGCTTTTAGTAGACGTTACTTTCTATAGTTTTACTCATTATTGCTGTTAATATATCTGTTTCGTATAATCTTCATGGTTTTTTTTTTAAAAATTCGATTCTACAATATTGCGGAGTATAATTGTTTCGTAAAATTTCAATAATAATTATGGATAAAAAGTTATTTTCTATGAAAAAATATATAATTGATTTAAGACATAGTGTTCATTATTATTTAGCAATATATCTTTCTATGAATCTAATTTGAATTTTAATAAGCAAGTTAATAATGTAATTTTTTAAGTTAATATATTAATATTGTATATTCATAATTTACCGTATAAAATTATTATGAAAATATAATTACAAATGTAATTGTAGAATCGTTCTTCTTTTATTCTCACATATATAAGTTTCAAGTGAAATATTAATTAATATAATATAATTATTTAAATGAAAGCGTTAAATTAGTATATTAAAATTATTATATATTCATGTATATTTTAATTTAATTTGAAACTATTATAACGTATGTATAATTTTATTTATTATCTTTCAATATTACAGATTAAAAAATGGTTAAGAAAACTTATAAAAAATTAACAATTGATTTAGTGAAACAAATAGAAAACCAGAGAAAGGAAGTAAGTTACTGAAATTGATAAAAATGCGATAATATTAATAATTAATTTAATTTTAATTTTTCTAAAGAATGGAGAATCTATTTTGACATTTAAATTTAATAAGAAAAGAGTAAGAATTTTGACCAAATTAGATGAAGTTACATTACATTCCAAAGGAATTGTTTATTGGATGTTCAGAGATGCCAGAGTTCATGGTAATGTTTCTTATTTCAAATCTCAATATCCAAATTTAAACGATGAATAATCCATCACTTAAATTTTCTAGTTAAATAATACAATTATGTTTTTTTCTTTTTTTTTTTTAGATAACTGGGCATTGTTATTTGCACAAAAAATTGCTTTGAAAAATAGGGTACCTTTACACGTATGTTTTTGTGTACCACCAAAGTTTCTTGACGCAACTTTACGTCATTATAAATTTTTATTAGGAGGTTTGGTTGAAGTGGAACAAGACTGTAGAGCACTAAATATTAATTTCCATCTTCTATATGGCGAACCAAATAATATGATTTTTGATTTTGTTAATAAATATAAAATGGGAGCAATTATAATCGATTTTTTTCCATTAAAGCTACCATTATCTTGGGTCGATGATTTGAAAGACAAACTTTCTGAAAACATTCCAATTTGTCAGGTATAATTTTAACAGCGATATTTGTAACAATATATGTAATAATTAATTTAATAATATTTCATACTCTATATAGGTTGATGCTCATAATATTGTTCCTTGTTGGATTGTTTCTGAAAAATTAGAGTATGCTGCACGCACTATAAGGAATAAGATTAATTCGAAATTAGAGGAGTTCCTTACTGAATTTCCACCTGTAATAAAGCACCCATATGTATCAAACCAAAAGTTTGATAAAACTAAATGGGATAAGTTATTGAATAATAAATTAATTGATAAATCAGTGAATGAAATTACATGGGCAAAACCAGGATACGAGAAGGGAATCGAGGAATTTAATAATTTTATAAAAAATCGCCTCAACTTTTACAATGAAAAACGTAATAATCCAATTTATGATGCAGAAAGTAAATTATCGCCATGGTTTCACTTTGGCATGATCTCCGTACAAAGATGCATTTTAGAAATTGTAAAATATAAATCTCAATATAAGAAGTCAGTAGAAGATTTTATGGAAGAAGCCATAATTCGCAGAGAACTTAGCGATAATTTTTGTTTTTATAATTCAAATTATGATAATATTAATGGAGCATTTAAGTGGGCTACAATAACATTAAATCAGCATCGGTAAGCTTTTAAGCATCATGAACTTATCCAATTATTTATTTATTTATTTATTATATGACCGACTTGTTAATAATATTAGAAAGTAGTGGCAAGTTTTTTTTCTTCTTTACAATTTTCACTATACATTGTCGATGATTTAATTCATATAGTAATGATATGAGAGATTACTTGTACACGTTGGATGAATTTGAGAATGGATTGACACATGATAATTTGTGGAATGCTGCTCAAATGCAACTAATAAAGGAAGGAAAAATGCATGGTTTTCTGCGAATGTATTGGGCTAAAAAATTTTTAGAATGGACTGAAAAACCAGAGGATGCATTGAAATGGTCAATCTATTTAAATAATAAATATAGTATCGATGGTCAAGATCCAAATGGATATGTCGGTTTGTTCATTTGTTTCTTGTAAAGTATGCCAATTATTTGTTAATATTTATGCGTTTGACAAGTTGTAGTTAACGAATGATTAATTCTTTTCTACTATATTTTTAACTATTAATTTGTATCAGGTTGTATGTGGTCAATATGTGGTGTGCATGATCATGGATGGAAAGAGCGACCAATTTTTGGTAAAATTCGTTACATGAATTACAAAGGCTGTGAAAGAAAATTTGATGTAAAGGCGTTCATAGAAAAATATACAACGAAGGCTTTTACACATAAAGAAAAAAAGAAGATAAATAAAAATTAACGATAGTATTAAAATACATTTTATTAACATACGTTAAATATTTATTTTACATTATTATAATTATAAATACTATATTTTATGAAAAATTACATTGTTAAAATTATTTATTAAAATTATTTATTTGAAATATGTTACTTGTATATATTGTTTGGTAACGTAATAATAATAATAACAATAATAATAAAAAAAAAAAAAAAAAAAAAAGATTGTTTCTAAACTTATAGTCTTTATCGCTCAACATAATTCATTCGTTAATAATATTTTTCTCATATTTTAAACATCTTAAACAAATATTAACTTTGATTTACGGATAATAAGTTTAGTTGATTTGGAACAGTTTCATGGGAAGTAAGAGATTGTTTTGCTGCAAGAAGTCCTAAAGATACACAGTCACTTTCTTTCCATCCTTTAAGAATTCCAGTAATTATTCCAGCGGCTAAGCAATCACCACACCCACTCACGCTAATAATTTCTCCAGCAAAATTCAATGGAGGATACAATCGAGATTGAATCGCACTACTTTCAATGGAATCGTTATTTTTATCTAGAAGTAATTCATTAGCTGAAGATTTTCTTGTAATCTATAATGAATAGAAGTTACAGTTTTTGCCATAAAATAAAAATATTTATGTAAATGATAAATATAAAACAATAATAATGTGCCAATTTATTACCAATACTCCTTGTTCACCTAGAGTAGTTATGACAACTGGTATCCTTTGAGCTAAAAATTCGGACGTTTTTTTGACAATTTCAAAATCAGTATTAGACTCATTAGATGGTATTGGGATTTGTAAATGCTTAGCTATTGCCATGAGTTCATTGACGTTTGGTGATATAAAATGTAAAACTTGTTGCCATCTCGGCCCACATTCAAATATTTTTAATGCTTTGTTTATATCTGTAGGCTCATACCAAACTGTAAAATATGGATTCTGGTTTAATAGAAAACTATATTTATTTATTTATTTATTTTTTTTATTTAACAATTATATTTAAAAACTCGTGTTTTTTTTTTTTACAATTTATATATATATATATATATATATATATATATATATATGTATACATCGAATATGTGATAAATTTAATTATTTTGTTGTTGTTAATGTTTAAAAATCAAGTACTAAATAATTGAAATATTTATACAAAATAATTTAGTTTTTTAATTTACAGTTAAATCAATATTTTAATGTTAAAATATCAAAATTTTATATTTATATACAATTTAAATCAAGGAAATGAACATAAAATTTTCAAAGCTTAAACATATTTTTAAGTCTAAAAATTTAATCACGTAAATAGATCTTAATAAAATATGTAGATTATGCATCTGTAAGATTTATTATAATCTCTAAAATAAATGCGTGACCTTTATATTTAGTCTAAGGTAATAGTAGAATTTTATAATTTTAAAAGTCACGAGTCTTTAGTTTGTAAAAATTTGAAAAAATAGATAGAAATAAGTGATAATCTTCAATTTATTAGATTTTTGATTTTATTATTATTATTATTTTTATTATATATATATATAAAGTAACGGTGGTAGAGTTTTAAATAACAATTATATCAGTGTTGGAGAGTGTAATGTAAATTGTTGGGAAATTGAATTAAAGTTCAGGAAGAATCGAGATGGAACAAAATGCATTTTTATTTCCCTTGCTTATCAGATAAGTGTACGACAGGCATCCTTCTGCACCTGTACACTTTTGATATTTGATATATTCTTGTCTCGTTTTACATTAAAATGTTAATGTAGTTTGTATTTTAACCGCTAGGAGCAGTAAATGACGCTACTGTTCTTTAAGTATATCACATTGAATTTTGTTTGGTTACTGGAATGTGTTTAGACTAGCGTTCGTTTAGATTCGAATCTTTTACAAACCATAACCCGTGTCTTCCGTTATAAGAGGCTGCTACTGGTATGTAATAATTGAAAAATAATCTTTCTTGTTTGTTGTTGTTGTTGTTGTTACATGATCAACAAGTGCAATTGATGCAAATCTTCTTATAATGTTTAAGAAAGGCGAATGAGATAACAAATATGGGAAAGTCACGCACAGGAAAAACAGCAGTTACATGTACTATTCTAGCTTTCATTTTGGTGTTGATTGCTTTTACCACACCCAACTGGTTACAAACTGATGGCAAATTAGAAAACCCAAAATTCATTAAAATCGGTATACAAATCATTTAATTTATCTTCTCTTTAAAATCATCTTATTTAAACACGAAAATTAATTTTTTTTTCTCTCTTAAATATTATGTAAATTGATCAATGTTTATTATATTAAAAGGTATTTTGTTTTTGTATAATCGATCATTTCGTTAATTTCATAATCAAACTATATTAAATGTATTTTAACAAATCTAATATATATATATATAATAATAATAATAATAATAATAAAATCGTTATTATATTATATACCACTTTTAATAATTGGAAGATGTAAGAATTTTAATTACTTCGATGATTTATTGATTCGACATTAATTCTCTTGTAAATAGTTATTTTATTTTTTGGTAAAAACACATATACATAATTATTTATCTTTCTATTTAGGATTATGGCAAGTCTGTTTTAATGGTTTTCAAGATATTCGCCATTTATATGATACAAGATTTCATGGTTGTTGGTGGGTTTTTGAAGAAGAATATTATATAATACATGATATTTTGTTGCCAGACTTCTTTGTGGCAACTCAGTTCTTTTTTACATTGTGCATGACTTTATTGCTGATTGGAGGACTTTTGACTGCTTTGTATACTTGTTGCTCTAGACAACATAAGAAATACCAGCTGTTATTATGGGCAACGGGGGCAAATTTGACACTTTCGGCCATCTGTGGTATTATTGCAGTAATTATATTTGGAGCCAGAGGCGACGGCAGAGTTTGGATGCCTAATTGGGAACACAATGATATAAGCTGGTCGTACGCATTGGCGGTTGTAGGTAGCTTTATTCTTTTAACTGCTGGTATTTTGTTTTTAATAGAAGCTCGAAGATTCAAAAAAAAGATTGAACGAATACTAGGCAAAGAACACAAAACTCACACTACCATTTAGATTAATATAAACGAAGATTAATAGATTAATCGCATGCTCATATACAATTTAAATAATTTCTATAGATCATGATAAAATTTATTTACAAATAGTGTGTACGATATGTTTGAAAGAGGCTTACTCTTTTACGAAGATCTGATAATGTTTAAATTTTCTTTTTTTCTATTCAAGAAGATAAATTGTAGATTATATTTAATTTTACATGTGGTATTGTAAATGTATTTCGTTATTTGCTATGAAGATGTTACACCTACATAATTATATTTACACACGTGTATATTTGCTTTAATATACAAATGTTCATAATATATATAATATAAAGATAAGTGAGAAATTGAATCCATCCAAAATAATGTGACATAATAATTGTGACTGAAAGACTTGTAAATATTTATTAATTATATATGTATTAAGAGAAACAGTATGCATTAGTGCCTTTTAATTCTTAATGTAATACGAAAAGTTAATTTATCTAATATTATGTTACGCTCAAAATCTGTATCGATTTTCTTCAAAGTAATGTTTATATATTTTAATAAAATTGTTTATTTAAAACCAAACGTTGTTGCTAATTAATTAATGAAATATTATCCATAATAAAAAAATCAACTTTGAATTTATATCCAATTAATTTAAGAATTATGTAGGATAATTTGTAAATAAAAAAAAGTCATTTTTTTCCTAATATTGCTTAATAATAACCTTTAAATGTTAATTTTTTATAATTATTTAGTAAGATAGAGAAAAATATGTTTGTATACATAGTGCAATTAAGTGCTTCTTGGTTTATTAGAATTTCCTTTTGTATAGTCAAGAAATTTCGTTTTTTATAGAAGACCGAGAGAGCGTTAGTTGAAGCCGAATGACGTACTACATGCAATATGTGAAATATTATCAGTAATTTTATTGCATATTTTTAATGAGTACACCTTGCCGAATCTTCCGCATTTTTAATAAATACATTGATAAAACTAATCGCCGTAAAGAATATTGCGCAGATATAATTGTATTTTAATATTTTCAGACTTGAAATTAAATTTTAATCTTACTTATTTTATCCTATTCATGTGCTAAAAAAACATGATAAATAACGAATCTTTAAATGGATATTGGAATTACAATTTTATTGAAGATTTTATTGTGTCCAACGAGTTGAAAAAAAAATATACGAATAATTTCAATAAGGTTTCGAGCATATAGTGAAGTAATTCAGAAAAAAAAATCTAATAGTTTATATATGCATAATTATGCATACCTTATAATTACTATGGAATTATATTCTATTCTAAAGTTAATTGTATAAATTTTCCGATAAATTTTTCAATTAAAAGATCGATTTATTGAAAATCTTAAAATGAGGTTACACAAACAATTTCATATCATTTAAAGGTACATTAATTGTTAATATAAACGAGCAGCTCACAAGATTGCTACAAAGGCAAATTAACGAGTTATGGAAAGAAAAAATCACGGTCAGAAGCAGAACATCGAATTACCTAGAAAGCGCGTCAACCTTCAAATATAAAACATGAACTGAGATCTCTCTCTCTCTCTCTCTCTCTCTCTCTCTCTCTCTCTCTCTCTTTCTTTCCCTTCTCTTCCTTACGTGCACGTATAAGTATTTCATTCTAAATTTTCTCTGTTCTATTTCTATTTATTTTCCGTTCTCTACCTTGTTATTTCGATTTCAATTGAATTTTAGTTGAATTTAAATAATAATTTAAAATAACGAATAATTTCTTATTGTTTCACCTTCTTTTTTACTTTTTCACCAAACAATTAAATAGTTTTGCAAGTTTTTACAATGGCAGCAAAGAATTTAATCAATAAACGTAATTTTTATGAATAATTCAACTCGGATATAATGCATGCATATCAATATCAAGTCATTAAGAATATTTATTCGTTGATGCGAATAAATTTTAAATATTATTTAATTCATTTTTAAAATGAAATTTTTATATAAGCTACTGTAAAATCTATTGCCATTTAACAATAATTCATAATTTTTTTTGTTAACATTAATGTTTTATGTAGAAAGAAATTTGTGGAAAGAAATTTATAAAATAAACGACAAAAATTAACAACCATATAAACCGAGATACTATTTCATTCTATTGTTAAAATTATAATTAAATTGTCAAAAATAAGGAACGATTAGTCAAACAATATAAAAACTGAAGTATTTCATATGTAAATATCAGTACGAGTTGGGAATTTCAACAATAATAAAATATGATTGTTGAGTTATACGCTTTTTGAATTGTAAATAAATGAGGATAAATTACGTTAGTGGTTAAAAAATGAAAGTGATTTTTCTAGACACATCGGTTTAAAAAATACTAAGAATGTAAAATATTTTATTATCCATTATTATCCTTTATGCCTTTAATAATGAAACGAATGTGCATGCGCGCGCGCGTGCCTGTATGCATGAACATATGCATTTATAATATGTATTATATTATGTATTATGTATTATTATTATTATTATTATTATTTGTGGTATTAGTAGTAATAGTACGCATGAGCTAACAGAGATTTATAACGTATAACCAATTTAAAAAATTTTTAAATTAATATAATCTTGAAACATCTATTATGTGACAGTAGAGTAGCATTTAATTAAATGTATTTGGTGTAGTGCATTAAAATATTGATAAAAAATTTAATTGCATAAATGTTACGCGTATGAGTAATTGCAAGTAGTAAGAGATAAAAAGATTTCGTTAAAATTGAAAGAAAGTAAAAGGACATTGAGGTAATATTGAAGACAGGTGAAGATGGATTATTACACATTAGCTTAGGACAGTAGAAAAGTAGCGCAGCCAATGCTGGGTTAGGTTAGGTTCAGTAACGCCCGCAAGCGTTTACAACATTAAGAATAGGAAAGAGGCAACAGGCTTGCGTTGTGTGAGCAGCGGGTGGGAGCGAGTACAACTGATGAGTGAGTAGTAAATACAAAGGTCGCGAGCACTTGGGTGTGGTTCACGTGGGATCTTTTTCTCACAGTGTGCTGTCGATGACTTTGTTTAGCATTTGACACTTGGAGCTCGACTCTCCGTCAACGCGAAGCTTCGAAGACGAGAAAAACGCAGCTCCTCGTCACGAAGGGAACAGAGGCCATTAATTAGTATTAAGAACGACTGCGTTTGTGAAAAATGAAAAAACGAAGTTTAGCCGGGAACGTCGGCATCGGAATCTTCCTCGTCGCTTTGATCTGTATTTGCGTAGCTTTTGGCACACCCGCTTGGTTAGTTAGTGATTATCGGATCACTAATGCACAATTGGACATGCTTGGTCTTTGGAGACACTGTTTTAGATCACTGCCTAACCCAATGGAAGCTGATGCTCCGAGGCGCTTTTTCGTCGGCTGCAGATGGGTTTATGATCCATTTACCACGGGCTATTCGGAAATCAGGGGCTTCCTCTTACCACGTAAGTGACATTTTTCATTTCTCGTCTTTAATTTCTTCTTTCAATTTAATTATTTTAAATATTAAATGAAATATATCATGTAGTATCTACTTCTTAGAAATTAATTTTTTTTTACTTTAACTGTGCATTCGGATATTTTAATGGACTTGTTATAAATAGTACTTTGTAATATTGGTATTAAAGTCTTTTGTCTAAATTATTATCTATTTAAAGCGGTTGAGATATTGAGATGCTTTGTTTATGTATATAGAAAGTTAGAGTTAAAAAGAATCTAATATATTCGGTAGGTAAGACTTTCTTTTGGGAGATTGTATGTTGATTTTAATTTATTCTTTATTGTATTGCAGCTTTTATGGTAGCCACGCAATTCTTTTATACAATTTGTTTCTTGGCATTTCTAATAACGTTGGGTCTAACGGTACTTTATGCAACCTGCTGGGATCCAGAGCAAAAGCATTACGTGCAGCTTATTATATCCATTGGAGCTCTTTTAATATTTGGAAGTATAAGCGGTTGTATTTCCGTCATAATATTCGCTTGCCTTGGAAATGCAGATGGATGGATGCCTGGTCATACTAATAATTATTTGGGTTGGTCGTTTGCATTGGCTGTTATTGGAAGTATTTTAGGTCTTATTGCCAGTCTTCTCTTTCTCGTCGAGTCGAATATACAGAAAAAGAAGAGGAAGAATCTTAAAGAATCTCAAACGAGATTTCCACTGGAATCTCGTACCTAAGTATTTTACTTATTTTTAAGTATATATGAGATACTTACAAAATGATCTGACAAGTCCGTCCATTAAAAATGTATTAAGTAATGAATGTGATGAGCTTTTATTTTTAAAGTAGTTTTAATTACGTTATCAAATTTTATTTAAATAATAATATTCTTATGTACAATTGTAAATTTATTTGAAATGATAATCCATCCATAGTTATTAGTACAAAACTTAAGCTAGATGCTAATAAAAAGACATTGTTTATAAATATTGTCCTTACATTGTTGTAAACTTTTTATACAAATAAACGTTTGTAATAATGTACGTTTTATCATTAATCCGTTCATATGCACGAATAAAAATATCAAAGGCCTAATAATTACAAAAGAGGAAGTAAAATTAATTCAAATATCAATTATTATTTATTAATGTCCATTGCTCTTTAAAAAAGAGCGAAAATTTTTATATATATATATATATATATATATATATATAGGCGCGCGCGCACACGCGCACGTGCACACACATGTATATGTATATATAACTATGCGTTTTTGATTATAAATTCATAATCAAAATATTTGTGCTGTCGCCCTCTATAGGTGCAAGCTGTAAACGAAGGATGAATGTAATTTTCATAGGTAGGAAGTACCTACACTAACAGTATAACACTAATTGAGAAACATATGAGGCGTGGTCACGATAGTTGATGTTGACAATTAGTTAAAATTAAACGTCTTGGCAATTAAAAGGCTATTTAATTTAAATCCGTACCTTGATACGGATATATAAATTTAATAAATACATTTGCAATAATGTTGGATTATCCTAAAGCTTCCAGTAAGTTTAAGTATTTCATTATGAACATGAAATTTCTAAGAGTTAACCTATATTATGAATTACTAAAAACACTTTTACATAGATGCTGTTGTATTTGGAGGAGTTATCACGTATGTAGCAGGTGTACTTCTTGTAATGTCTTTTACTAGGTAAGAATTGAAAAAGCTTCACACATCAATTGACATATTTATATTTAATTTGATTTTATATTGCGCAGCCCTTATTGGATACAATCATATGTAGAAACATTCAGTAGTTTTAAGCATATGGGATTATGGGAATATTGTTTTGAGAATTTCCGATATCCATACTATCAATTTGATAAATTATTCAATGGTTGTCATCACATATTCTCTCAAGAATACTATGTTATCCGAGAATGGTTGCTCCCAGGATGGTTGATGGTTGTTCAAGCATTTGTTACTTTAGCTCTTTTAATTTCATTCTTTGGCCAAGCGATTCTTATATTAATTTTAATAAGATTTCCATTAAAATTTGTATTGGAGAATGAATGGCTTCTATCAAGCATCGTTTGTGTTTGCAACGGTATTGCAGGTAAATTAAATTGCAATAAATACCTAATCTATTATTATTTAAAATGGATTGTTAAAAGTATTATCGCTTTCTCAGGTGCATTATTATTTCTCGCTGTTTCAATATTTGGAGGTCAATGTTGGAGAAGGGATTGGATGATGTATCCAAATTTCAATCATTTATCTTGGTCGTATGGATTAGCTGTTATTTCATTCAAATTCCATACAGTCGGAGCATTTCTTCTATATTTGGATGCGCGATCAAACTACAGAAGACGCAGAGAATCTCGGAATTTGGTTATGCAAATGCAACCCAATCCTCAAACTCATCACGGTTTACAACGCACAAACTATATATAGAATGCATTGAATCATTTAAAAACCTAGATTTTATATAAGAATGAAACATCATTGATTTAAACAAAAACAAAAAACAAAAAAAAAAAAAAAAAAAAAAAAAAAAAAAAAAAAACACGTGACATGTCGCATGTCACAAGACTCACTAAAGTATAATAATTATTCCGTCCACTTTTATCTATTAAATTATAATATTTAATTATAAAATATATTTTACAATTAAGGCATAAATTATTATTATTGCAATTCAATAATTTATAACATTTTACAAATAAAATTAGAATTTTACAATAAAAATATACAGCTTTAGATAAAAAAATTTAAAATATAAAATTTTTTAATTTATATAATTTTAAAATAAATTTATTCTAAATAATTTATAACTTAATATTCCAACTTGACAATAATGCAAATTTTAACGATATATATATATATATATACATACAAATATACATATATATATATATATATATATATATATATTTCTTTTTTATTTGTAAAGTATAGTAGATCAATATATTTAGGAATCTCAGTTTTTATAACCACTTGATTTGTACAATTTATAATGTAATGTAAATAAGTGCCTTTCTATTTTATATAATAAACTACTTAATACTTTTTTTAAAGTTTATATATTTGTTAAATTATGACAATTTTTTTTTAATATACAAATATTTTCATATTTTTAAAATGTTTGAAATAAAATAAAACAATTTATCATGAAATTTTAAAACTGTTATACATATTAAAGGGAAAAATGTAAATACAATATTTAAATATTTTTATTGAAGGTTTTCTTTCAAAGAGATGACATTTTTATAAGCAGTATTTTATATTTAAACAAAATTATCTTAAGTACAATTTATTTTGTTGGGATAAATAATGTTGTAAAAAATGTTCATACACACCTGGTATCTGATTCTGTAAACAAATATCTAAGGCAAATTCCATTGCGTCTAATGATGGATTTCCATCTATTACCAAGAGTGGAGCATTTTCTAAAATCTGTCGATTTTGTTGAAGAAATTCTTTATTAATTTTCATAAATGCATTCATTTCACCAACACCGAAACAACAATTTCCCTTATTATCAATTACGGCAGTATACCTAAATGAAATAATAAAATATAAATAAACTTAACCATTAAGGAATAGTTAATTTGTTTACCTATCCATTTGGCTTTAATAAATGAATGATTAAAATTATTTATGAAAGTGTATTACTTAATTACATAATGATAATGTGTTATAAAAATTCATAATTGATCTCTAAAATATTTTCCTTACTAAATATTAAGTTGATTTTTAAATTAAGTTTTTTCTTGTTAATTAAAAACGTTGAAACCAATTTTTTGAAGTTATACGCAATAATATAATGATCGTTTAACTTTTACACATATGAACATAAATTTATAATGTTCAAATTTTTAATTTAATATCGTAGAAAAAGAACGTCACTTTAATTAAGCAATTAATATATATTTTTAAAATTAATTTTAAAGATAAAATTTGTTATTTAGAGATGTTAATTATAAATGTAATTATGTTTCATTTAATATTATAAATTTTAAATCATTTTCATTGTAGAAATGTAAAATTTCCTAATAGTCAATAATAATAAGTTTCATCAGTAATAGTAATTACATGAATTATTTCAAAATAAATATTTTTCAATAAATAACAAAATTTTAAAATAAAATTTACTATCTTATCGAGTTTTACCACATTTTTAATATGTAAGTACGAAAATAGAAATTAAAAAAATATAATTAAAATTTTAATTAAAGAATATATTTATATTTATAGAAATAATTATTATATAATCATTGATTATAATATTCTTTATTTTTTCAAATATCATAGCTTTTACTTAAATTATAATTAACTTTAATATTTAATTCCAGTAATTGTGCTTAATAAATAATAACAAATCATAATAAATTGTCATAATTTAAGCGGTTTTCTTCCATTCTCAATGTCTTCTCGTATTTGAGATTTATAATTACATTTTTATAAAACAATTTTGTGCTACAATGTCTAATTATTTTAATTATTTTAATATTTAAAAATTCATTGTTTTGTATTTTCTTTCTGAAATCATTTATTTTACAAATAAATATATAGTACAACTAACCTGGCCGTACTGATATCAGGCAAAATACGTATGGTCGAGGATGCAGACCCAAGACTGTGAGTGATCGCTCGTCCAGCTTCATCATCACCAATTACACTGAGTAATTTTGTATCGGCCATCCCCAAATTTATAAGAGCAGCAGCTAAGTTTCGGCCAACTCCACCACAAGTTCGATAACTTTCACCCTTATGAGTACTTCCATTAAACTGCAATTTTCATTTGAATTTTTATTTAAAATTGTTTATAATTTAGAAAATCATTGCAATATAGTAACTATTAGTGAATGACTTTTTTTAATTCAGCACATTATATATATATATATATATATATATTTATTTATTTATGTAGTTGAGTTATAATTAAAAGCTATATTTATTTAATGTCAAGGCTTTTATATGACCTTAGTTTTTATGTATTAAATAAAAATATTCTTAAGAAACGTTTCTTTAATATTGAACAAGATACTTTTTAATTGTCATTATTTCTAATCTTTAAAGATTATTTTCCAATTAAGTTGAAATAGTAGAATCCAAGTATTATAAATATAACTTTTTGTTTGATGTACTATAAAATATGAATTGCCGAAATAATTGAAGGTGTCTAAAAATAAAAATTAAATTACCTTCCAAATAATTACATATTGATTTTTATTAATCGAATAAAATAATTATTAAAGTATATATATATATATACATATATTTTTTTTTTAAGAAACAACCATTTAAGAAAGTATAAAACTTATAGTATATATTTTAAATAAATATATCCTTTAATTTTAATGAGCTAAATATTACTATAAATACAATTATGTATAATATTTTGCAAAATTATTCAAAATTATTCCTATATATACATGTATCTGTGTAAATTAAAAATAGTAGTAGTCATGTAATTTTAATCAACATAAATATTTATCAAAATATGGTGTATGTCTGTATTATTATTATTAGTAAATTGATTTATTATCAATAAAAGAATTTGTTATTTATAGCAATTGTTTTTAAATTGTTAAATTTATTTATATTAACGTATACAAACATTTTCTTTCTAATGAAATACTTTGTATTCTTAAACCGCTAATATTTAATAATATGTTATGTAAAATGTAATAATTTCATAAATAAAATTACATATCTGATCTTAAAGAAACTATTTTCTAAATTATTGAAATAGTTAAATTATATTAATTGTCATTAAATTAATCTTTCAAATTTAATTGTGACATATATTAACTACATACTTTAAAAGTTTATAACTAGCAAACTATTAACAATAAAATATCATATTTTAATAATGAAATATTTATATTTATTTTTATCGCTTCACACTGCAAATATATGTTTAACAATAATTTAAAAATTTTTTAAATTATGAAATGGAATATGTTTTTTTACAATTTAACAAGAATTATTTTTTTTTTTCAGTTTGACAGAAAATATTTAGTTTTTGATATTTTATTATTTTTTATCTTTTGTAATATATTGATTAGGTATATAAATTACAACTTCACGTATTTTATAAAGAGATTTAGAAAAATTATGTTTTAGGAAAAATCACGTTTATTTTTTGCTATATGTTATTGCACTGACATATTCTTAACATTAACATTTCCTTTCTTGATATCGTGTTTCGTTTTAGGCAAATACACAAGAACTTTCTAAATTACCCCGTTAGACGTTTTCTTTCTTCAGTTTCAAGTATTAATAATTTATTATTCAATCTTACACAATTGAATAATTGTTCATATAACAATCCAACTAACAAGAATAACAACGAAATGAAAATTTTAGTTGTGATACGGTATTAAAAATCTTGGACATTCGATGTAAACTTAACTTTATTGTTATAAAAAGAAACCATTATAAAAATTAATTGATGTAGCTTCACTTCACTTCCCTTCACTTAGTAAAAAAACTTATGATACTTTTTGTTATTAGGATTGTTTCAAACAGGTAATTTGTATTCAAGCAAATATCAGTACTTCTTATGTTAAATAATAATTAACATAATATTTTTTATACTTGCATACGAATATAATACGTTATATTTTCTTTTATTTTTTCTGTACAATAACAGACTTACGGTAATAAGTAAAAATTCAAATAGTTACGATCATTCAATGAGCTTTATAATATTGCGTCTTAAAAAATATTATTTATCTTTTATGATGGATTTTTAATTAAATATGTTTTAATATAATGGTTAATTTTAATTTTCTGATATTAACACTTTCAAAATATATAAATAAATAAAAATAATTTATTTCGACAATAAGTACGATTTTACACGAATTCAAAACTTTACAATATGGATAATGTAAAAAATGCGCGCGCGCACACACGCACACGCACACGCACACACACACACGCGCACACAAATAATTTAAATATTATTTTTATAATAATGAATATTAAATTTTAAAATAATTTGATGTAAATATAACACCACATGGATGTGCATAATCAAAGTAATGTAATTAAAAGTAGAAAATAAAGTAATAATGTAAATATTAATAATATAACTTAGCTATTACAAGTTTCAACACATTTATTCAAAACACATTTATTAGACTAATATCAATTTTCATTTTTTTTAATCATCATCAATTCAATAAAACATGAAATAGTACTCAACTCTTATTTTTGAATCGATTATCATGTCGGCTAATAGTCGGCTAATATTTTTGAAATTTTCGAAATTTCCTGAAATTAAATTATTCATTTCATTTATATATAAATGTAAATATCTAAAAGATTATAAAATTCATATAAAACATTAAAAATTTATCGTTATCAGAGTTTTATATAAAGATAGTTCACACAATAAAGTATGTGAATCGATGGCGCGACTCACTATTCTTTCCCAAGCATGTATCTTCTTAACTATTGGCTGTATGAATGAAAATGCGTGGAATTTAATTTTGAAAATTTACTAGCACTTTCTTAAAAATATCTACTTAAAAAAAATGAAAAAATTTTTTTAATTAAAATTCGTTACCCCAGGAATGACCTCTCAAGGCTTATCATACGCATTACTTTATGCACACATCTATTTTATAATATTGTAATTTCATAAAAATAACACTTTTATTAAATTTATTGTACATTATAGATTTCTTAATAATCAAATCATTATACATTGGTATCGATATTTTAAAAAATAACTTTTAAATGATTATTATTATCATAAGTGAAAATATGAATTGATTATTTTTCATCATCAATGTTTATTCAAATTATTTTTTCAGATTAAAAACGATCGATAAAATAATGAAAAACTAAATGTATAGAAAATCACAGAGAAAAATGACATTACGAATATAGGGTTTTACAAACAATAGAATCAAAATTTGATTTTGATGAGTAATTTTCAATGATGCGAACAAATTTTGTTCAAGGATTTGCAAACGTTTAAATAAAATTATACGATTTAGGATTTAGGCTTGGCTGCAATCGTAAAATATTTCTATTTCTATGATGTAAAATGTCATTGTAAGAAAATTTATTGCAACTATTTGGATATTTCAATACTTTTGTAAATTCTATCTATTCTTATTTACTCATATTAATTAATTGATGAATCAGTTGATGACTGAAAAAAAAAACAGATTTATTTTCTTTCTTTCTTTCTTTCTTTCTTTCTTTCTTTCTTCACAAACATAAAGATTTTTTCCGAATTACATCATTAAATTTTGAATTTGAATGATTCTTATAAGTAGTTATTATCTTATATTATCGTACCTAATATGTACTTATATATGAAGAAGCTCTTTTAAGTTATAGTTATAATAGTACTCCTCAACTATATGTGCAAATGAATTTAATCGTCAAATGACAAAGATCCTACATAATCTTAGGTTTGACGAGTGAAAATGATTGCGCAATAAGACCTTTCACGAACCTTTAGATAAAAAAACTTATACCATACTATAATCATTGGTTTGACATTTAATTTCCAAGTTTATAATAAAAGTTTTTTTAATGCTAATTGATTGATAGTAACATCAATTGGAATACTGCGTGTTTTAAGTATAATTTTAGCGTTTCATAAACTTTTAGCTACCATTTAGCTGCAGTTAAAAAAATTAAATTATAATTAAAGAAATACGTTCTGTCCTCCACCTCCAATGCGATAATGCAGTAAAATTTGGCACAGCATTGAAGATAAAGCGTAGTAAGAAATAATAAAATTTCGGTTGTATGTCGGAATATCCGTACGTAAAATCTATTTTCGCAAAATATCATACGTGTAATTGAAATATCAATCGCAGAGCATTAAGCGCATGCAAATGAAAGCGCAGCTGTCAAAGACGAGCGGCGAAGGTAATTTTTGCACGCGAGCAATTGAGAGGTATCGAGGGGAAAAGCAGGCCACAATGAAATTGAGTGTTAAAGAGCCGAAGTACTGGGCGTCGCGACGCACGTATGAGTGAGCCCAGAGACCCTTGCGAGGTAGACAAGTCGCGTGGCGTTTGGCCTTCGATTCGAGGCGCAGGCCCGACGGCCTCGGCGGCGTCGTTCCTCCTCTCGGTTGCGCGCCCCTATCCGCCGTCACGGCGGCAGTCTGCCCGTAGTCCCGGATGCAAACGGACGACGCGGAATCCAGCAGTCGTCCCCGTCGACTCGAGACGGCCGCGACGAACTTCTGACGCCCAAGTCGCGCCAGAAGAGCCCGCACATTGAGAGGCTGCAGGGGCCTAAAGGCCATCGTCGTCGCTTCCTCGGGGGCTATGAGTCGTCGGCACTGAGCCCTCGGGGGGCGATGCTCACCGTCTTCTACTCCTCTTCTTCCTTGCCCGCGTCCTCGTCTTCGCCCTTCTCGCAGTTATATCGTGAGAAAAGCACCGACCACCAGCCACTACCGCCGACGCTGCTCAAAGTCCGACACTCGCACTGACCTGCGCCCAAGGAGCTCGGCCAACATGATCGACGTGACGTGACATCCAGGACATACATACATTCTCTCTCCCTTCTCCATCACTTTACCACTCTCTCTCTCTATATCTCTCTCTCTCTCACTCTCTCTCTCTCTCTCTCTCTCACTCTCTCTCTCTCTATTTTGCATCAATTTACATTGATGTAAATTTGACACGTACACGCCCGCTCGCTTACACGCACACGCACACGCATAGCACACTCATTCAAACTCACTCACGCATGCACGCAAGCACGCACTAATACACGCGCGCGCGCGCGCGCGCACACACACACACACACACTCTCTCTCTCTCTCTCTCTCTCTCTCTCTCTCTCTCTCTCTCTCTCTCTCTCTCTTTTCCTCTTCCTCTCAATATTACACTCGTTCTACTAACTACCCCCTTTGTCCTCCTTCTCGTCATCCGCTTCCTATACGTTCTTCCTTTTTACTTCCTATTATCTTTTTTAACCTTAAGTTTGTTCAAGTGCATTTACTGATCCTTGGTCATATTCGGAATGCTAATAAAGGTTGTGGATTTTTCATAGAATGAAAGTGATATGTGCGAAATAGAAGTATCGTATTAAGTCAAAGAAGAGCTATGAAATTCAGTAAGACTAATACGCTTAGCTTTGTCAAGGTTAGTATAAGTTAAAATTCATCACTTTACTCTGTCTTTCTAATTAATCAAAAATATCTTTTCTACGCGTACGCGTGTTTCTGATCCATGTGCGTTTGCGCGTATCGATCTGTAAAGCTTTGACAAAAAAATCTAAATTTCCAAAATGTTCTCTTGCATCTCCTTTTTATCACTATTAGATAGATGCGCCTGAACTCTTTCTTTTTTTCTTACTTTACACTGAACTTTCTTTCTTTCGTAGCTCATTTATTCTTCATTTAATATAATAATAATTCAAATAATATCTGTTATGTATTCGCTAACATTTTGCGAATTAGCTACTATATATTCTACTCTATAATGCTATTCCCATTCTTACATTCCTATTTATATGTCGATCGATAAATTCTTTCTTTTGGCCATTATATAAATACCTAAATACAATTATAATTTATATTATGTTGAAAATATATGGATAATTCTTATTACACACGCGCGCGCGCTCGCACGCACACACACACACACACACACACACACATATAAATAATTTAAATATCATTTTTAGAATAAAAAATATTAAATTTGTAAATAATTTGATGTAAATATAACACCACATGGATGTACATAATCAAAGTAATCTAATTAAAAGAAAATGTATGTCATTGAAAATGGCAAGGAAAATACGCAAAAAAGAATAAAACTGAATAAATAAATTATGCTTGTTATTATTATGCGATAATCTAAAGTGAAGAGTCATTAATTCTTGTTTTTATATATTAAAAAATGCTTCATTAAAAACATTTATCAATTTAAAACTACGTGTAAATATATATGTTAACGAGTACATTACTTGTAATAATATTTATTTATTAGTCATTATAATGATTATATTGGATATCGATGAAGATTTTTTAAATTTAATGTTAAATACAGATTGACATTAGTTTCAAACATAAACAGTTATGAATATGATTTTTTAACTAATCACTCGTTTTCACTCTTCTCATTTTTCTCTCCTTAATTTTCTGAAATTGAAAGAAGAAATAAATGGCACATTCTGAATCAAATGAAGGTAAGCATGCAGACTGAAATAGCTAATGAAAAAATAAAATTAAACAATGGCTTATTGTCGGGTTTTTCAAAAAAGTTCGCTATTACATTACTGATTAGCCCATAAATATAGCCATTATTACATAATAGGAAAAACAGAAAGAATATAGGTGTGCGAAAGAATTACTAATTGTTAATAAAATTATTACAAATTTACATTTACCATATATTATCGGATAAGAGTTCGATTAAAAAATTGCATAATCATTCTTCTTTCCTTTATCATACTCGTACACCAAATTTCTTCCTTTGTATTCTTTTTGTCTTTGTATTTCAATTTTATCATATTCTATTTATTTTCTCATATTTTTGATTTTTATTCTATTATAATTTGCAATTCTAAAAAATTGCTTCCAATAATCTTTTTTCTGAATTTTAAATTGATACAATTTCGTTATAGGACATTTATACAATTCGCAGAGTCAACGAATGCGCACTTTATATTAATCGTTTTTTACGTACTCCTTATCGTTATTTATGTTTATAATATCTTTCTTGTTTTATTATCCCAACAAAGAATTACTCTATAAATACCAAACATTTTATTATAAATGTTGAATTTTATATTATGATTTTTATAAGTATTGTAACTAATTATTTATATAAATATAGAATTTATATATTTTAAAAATTGATTCAAAACTTTATCATTTCAAATATAACAATTTTAACATATTCTTTTTTTTTGTCTTTTACTCTCTCTCTCTCTCTCTCTCTCTCTCTCTCTCTCTCTGTCTCTGTCTCTTGTTTATAAACAATGAAGGTCATTATTTGTTTAGTACAATATAATTTATTGTGAAATTATTTTATTCTTAGAATATTTACTGTGATTACACATTGTTTTCTTAAAAGTTTATTAAAAATACCATGTAATTGTTTTAATGCTTTTTTAAAAAATCTTTGAAAGCTCATAGTTTATTATTAGTTTTAAATAGACATGATTTTAAATCTCGATAATCTTTCATTTAAAATCTTTTCATTAATTATCTGATTAAAAAAAAAATTTAATATTGTTTTAATAATTTTTTATGCTCAAATATTTACTATCCATATAAGTATAATCAATAATTATTTTTTTGATTTCTCTACAATTAATCTTTATTATTCATATTCACAATTATAAAAAAGCCTATAAATGAGAAAATGAAAGAGATACATTAGACACATTCTGTTCATATTTTTACATTTTATTTTGTAAAATGCATAAGTTTGCTATTTAGAAAAAATTCAATCAACAGCTTATATAAATTTCCTTTACTATTAATTATTTCTTTTATATTAAAAATAGCACTCAAAAAGGTATATTTAATCGAATAAATGCTCAAAAAATTATTCTTCAAAGTTAATAATATATTTTGTACTATAACTTATATTTGGTCTTCATACATTTATCATTAATACTAATTTTAGCACTTATTTCCAATACGAAATTATAACTCTATTCAAGTCTTTGATATTTAAATTGTTTGAAAACAATAGATTATATGGAAATAAATTACAATTAATTTGATTGCATTTCATTATAAATATGTTCATTATAAAATGTATTGATAATTAGATAAAAATACGATGTATATTGCAATTTTTAAGTTGTAAATTCGGAAATATAATGTAAATAAATGTAATATAAAATAAACTATAATGTAAATATAAATATTTAAAAATAATTTAGATTATTAATATTCAAGATCCATTGAACGTTATATGTTGAATGACAATATGTTTTAATGGTAAACTGGAACAATGGAAACATTTCAGTAGCATAGATCTTATAATTAATTTATTAATTAATAATAATATTAATGTAATTATTAATTATAAACTTTTTTTTATAGTACATATTTTAAATATAATTCGAATATAATATTAAGCATTAAATTATAAAAGCAAACAAATTTGTAATATCAAACAAAAAGAACAGCTTATTATTTAATAAAAATTGATGAAGTTTCTCGATTAAACGTTCATTGATGCTTCGAAGTGTTTTTTATAATAACTGTACGAGCAAATCTATCATAATGCACACGAAACTACTTTGACTGCACCGAGACTATTAATTTTTATATTATTGTTATTAATGTGATATTATCATACACTTGTGCAAACGATTTGTTCAACAATGATCGATATCATGTTTCTCAAAAATATTTATTAGGAATTTATTAAACATACTTTTAGTAATTGAGTTATGTATATGGTAGATGAAATATCTGAGTTAAAGGCATGAGATTTGTTAAAAAGAAAATAAGGTCAGAATTGGGCGATGGCAGGGTTGAAGGTCGTGTAAAAATCAATTCGATGTCCGTTGCATACGTACGTAGACGTTCATAGATTAAGAATCAATTATGAACTATATAAGTAAAATTAATTATCAATTATTTGACTACGAATTTCAAAAAAAAACAATGAAAATACGGGGAATCATTAATATTATTTGCATCATCAAATTTGATAAGCATTAATAAATAAATGAATTTTGTTGATATGTGCTAACTAGTTGATTAATAGATTATTACGTTTAAGTAAATAGTTTGGGTTAAAAACTAAACAAATACTAATGATTATTTTTATAAAATTACATTCAAAATTTTTATATAAAAAAAAGAAAAAAAGAAAAAAACGAAAACCTATAATAATTAACTATACGACCGACATAAATGACGAACTGAACATGTAAATAAATTATCTATTTTGGAAACTTTTTCAAGATTTTTGATTTACTATATTGTCTAATTTGAACAAGTATGTCTTAAAAATATTGTTTTAGTAAAATAATATGTATTACAAATTAAATATATTTAACGTTGCATTGAATGAGTTTTCAATATTATTATTATAGGATACTTTTATGCTTTAGTAATATGAAGCTTTAGTTTTCTACTTTAATAATTTCATTGCCTAAAAATAAATTTAAATTTATTTTCAAAAGAAATTTATTTTCAAGTTGATTTTTTAATATCTAATCAGTGAATAGTGTCTAAAAATTTTGTTTAAATATTTTAGGTTAAATTAAGTTAATTAATTTCATCAATTTTCTTTTAATTCAATATTTCTCTAAATATTTTAAATGAATTGAAAGTATAACTATCATGAGCATTAAAGCTTGTAAATTGTTAAATTTCATTAATAAGCAGCGCTACTTTTTTAAATTTAGAAATAAATAAAAAGCAGGGGGTCCTTGTTGTATCTTTGTTTTAGTTTAACTAGAGCTATTTTCGTATATGTATATATATATAATTAGTAATAAAAAGTAACAGAAAATTATAACCTAAATAATATAATGTATAAATATAAAATAATACATAAATATTATTTTATTTATTGTAATTTATTTAGAGATTATGTATGTATGACTTTATGCATATATCATTTTAATTCTTTTATCGGATATAAAAATAAGCTTTATTGATCAATCCATAAAAATTAATGTTTTAACTTAATGTAAAATTAAAAATTACTTTATTAAAATTGCATGTGAACAGAAAAAGATAAAGAGTTCTTCAATTTTTTTTTATTCGTCGATGATAACATTTATACTTGATAATTTATAAATTTTTTATTTTTTTATTATTAATATATTAATTCATATATATTTAAAATAAAAATGTACAACTTCATTCTCAATTTGATGTAAACATTAATATTTTATTTATTAAATTTATTTATTTTTGTCTATTTTTGTCCATTATTGTCTATTATTTTTGTTTGATCTCTTCGATAATTCATGCCTCTGATATAAATGCATTAATAAAAAAGTTACGATTCAAAATTTTTTTTAAGTAATTAAATGAACTTCTTTCTTCAGCGATCAGCTCTTGTAGAATACAAATAAACAAAATTGAGTACAATGTATATAAACAAAATAATTTTAAGTATTTCAATTTTAATCAATTTCCTTTATATTGAATGGC